ACATAAAAGCCACAAATATGCAGGACTGGCACAAAATATAACACCCCTGAAACAACTGTATGGTGAGCATCATGATCTGCATACATCTTACTATAATTCATAATATTCAGATCAAATTACATTTGCCAATGCCAAAAATAGGAGACAATATATTAAGGCAGTAATCAATTTGTGGCCAACTGCACAAATATGATAAATATTTAGTACAAAATCTTGCGCGCCAGTTTTTCAGCCCAGTCTTAGACAAAATTGCAATGAAAATGGTCAATCACCATTAAAAATCCTTTCTAGTATATCTTTTACATGGGAAACATAATAAGACTGCAAACACTATCATGGTTTCTCCTTTTGAGTTTTGGTTCTTCCTTACGCTCTTACAGAGTTTTTCCTAAAACCGTCTCCCTCAACAAGAGGGTCAACATTTCTAGAAAGCTTTTGGGCTATACAAACAAAAACTGAGCTAATGGGATGCTTCTCCACATGATCTGAAACTCATCTGAAAGCTCTTGCAGGTTTTAAAGAGCTTTTTGATTTTTTCATGTCTGGACTTCGATCTGGCCAGTTGAAAGCTCTCAGATTACCGTCTTATTACTTGTTTTCTAGATATTGTTTAATTACTGTGACTTGGGATTTAGGACCATTATCTTGCTGCAGGACAAAAAGGTTGCCAATAAAAGCTCTCCCAGGGAGCAAAGCATATGGATAAGGGTCTGCTTCTACTTGATTACAAATTTTATCAAAGGTATCGGATACCAGACTTGCGGAGCTCCTTCGCATTTTATTTAGTTAGTTAAACTTTGCCTGATAAATCTCTCCTTATCTGGGTCTGACAGTCAGTTGTAGATCCTTTCTTACTGGTTGCCAAAACCCTCCTATATTGTTCTCGAGTCTCCTGTTTATTGATGTGTCTAAATGATTCCCAACATCAGGTTTAGTTTTTTTCCCCTATCTTCCTGTTCCTGGACTCTCATAGATCCCATTCAGTGGAGGAACTTGGCGATAACCATATCTTGCCAATTTCTCTGCATGAGCTTTCTTGCTCTTGTTCAGACCTTCACCTAAATTATTGTTGTTTTTTTTTTTCTTATCTATTTTAGTCTAATGTCCTCTTTCAAAACTCTTTTTCAGAGGGTCATTTTGATCTTACCTAAATGAATATGGACATTTATTTCCTACTGTAAATAACAATATCTTTATTATCATAATATTTAGTGCTATAATGCATCGAACAGACAGTCTTTTGGCAAATGCGAATACCATGTTGCGCCATTGTGACCAGTGTATTCTAAATGTGCACTGCTTTACTGAGGCTTACAATACTCCATCATTCATGTTCTACACAGTTTAAAGGGATTTAGACTGAAGAATATCTGTCAAACTGACATTTTCATTTGCGTTTGCATATTTTGTACCAATACTGCATATGTGTAATTAGAGCTTGCATGCAAACAAACACCTAATTAAAAATGGAAAAGAAAAACATCCACACAGTGAATCTGGCCTCTCTATGTCTGTCTCTCTCTCTCGTTCTCTCTCTTGCTCACACCTTGCTACAAATGTTGGCTCCCACTTGCTTAAACTACCTTGCGCATGGTATATTGCATATTTATAGGTATCTGATTTAAGGGTTAACCCTCATTTAAACCCCTTTAGTATTTTCAGTGTTTGTCTTATAAGAAAGTAGACAAATGTGAAGAACACTAGAAGAAAAGACAGAAGAGAGCAGCTAGATACATACAGGGGGTAGACAAAATAATGGAAACAAACAAAATATACCAATAGCTGCTAAAAAAAATCAGGATGTGTTTTACAGCGACAAACAGATGCAAACCAGCAGTGTGAAACTAAATCATGACTCATCATTTTCAATTCCTTTTTTCCCACTGTTCTAAGATTGAGAGTTTACGCTAAACGGGTCAGGTTCTGTGTTCTCGGCCACTGGCTTTGGATTAGGCCGTTTCCGTTCTGGGCTTTGAAAAGCTTTTGACACAGATTTGGTTGAACTGGGTCACAGGGATTGAACTTGCATTCTGTAGCCATTTTAAGGCATTGTTTGGTGACTTTTAGCAGCTGTTGTGTCTTAAAGTGTTCGTCAAAGCCCCACGTTCAAACCTGCCTGATGTTCTACTGTATTTCCTTTGAGATACAACTGAGGTCAGTGTACCTGCTTTTTGAGAACCTCTGAACTTCTGAGATATAGCAGGTAAAGAAGCACATAAATCTTTTGATTTCAAAACTTTGCTGATAGGAAAAAAGATAACTGGAATATACATACAAATGCAATTGTAACTGATAAACAAATACAAATAGATTGCTATGTAATTGTAGTTTGGTCACTTCAACATGAGTTCTTTCTCATTATTTTGTATACTCCCAACAAAGATAAATATATAGATAGATTGATAGATAGATAGACAGACAGACAGACAGATAGCAGTAGTGCATGTTGAACGTATGGTGAATAAGGCACTGAGCAACTAAGTCAGTGATACATTCCCAGACCTACAAACCTTTCCTATTTAGAATGTCAAACTAGCAAGGGGAGCCTTCATCCTTTTCCAGTCTCAAAGATTCCAGTGGTAGCGGCTGAAAAATGCTTGAAAATGCCTGAAAAAAGCCTGTGCAGCTGATTCTGCTAATGGAAGCCCCCCACCCCAGCGGTCAGTAAATTCAGTGTAAACGAAAAAACAAAACAAACAAAAAAAAAAAACGCTGCCTTTCCTCACGCAAACAGGGGTACAAGCATTATTCACTGTGAAATGTGACCACAAGTGGTTCTGCACGTCAGTCTCGAATGCTACATACAGAAGGACCGCAGCGTCCTTCAGGACAGTATTGTTTGGCAGTGTAACTGTGTGGACCAGAGGAACAGGATTACGTTCGGGCCGCAAAAAGGGACACAAAGATCAGCGGGACACAAGAGACAAGAGTTTTTTGGCAGAAAAGGCCCGGTCATTGTTTCACCCATGCAATTTGATTGGCTGTGTTACATGTTCCTGTGCAGTTGGATTGGCTGTGTTACATGTCCTGAACACAGAATGGTGCACCGTCGGTGACAGACATTAAAAGTCCTACTCCCAGTGTTACAGATCATCGACATAAATTGACATGGAACAGAAAGAGATGTGACAAGAGTGTGAATCAGGACTACAGGCTAGAACTGTGTGGAGCACAGTGCCATCTATTGATACGCTAGAGGTAGTGGAGCTCTGTTCCTTCTTCAGATATACATTTACACATTATGCCAGTCACATTATGCTAGCATAAACCAACCCCAGTGTCCACATTTAACATTTCACCAAAAAGAAACTATTATGGAATCAATCTAAAATGGTAAAATACTGTTTGCCTTTCTACAAAAAAGGGGCATCTAAAAAGATTACATGGAGATGACCAGTTTGGTGGGGATTCCCACAGTGAATGATCTCTTATCTCATACAGGTCACTCTTACTTAAGACAGTCAATAGATAACATGTTCTGGGTAACTCTTGTATATATAATATGTATATATATATATATATATATATATATATATATATATATATGTGTGTATGTCTTCTCCAGCTCTGATATAAGCTCTGATATAAGTACCATCAGTAATTCTGTATGATCTTATTCATCAAAAATATCTTTTTTTTGTAGATTTTTGAGCTCAGGTTACTTAAAATTTGAACTATTTACATTTGCATTGATTCACATTTCATATACATATATTACTCAGCATACCTTATTTCTTCTCTTTGCATCTAGGAAAATAGCTGTCTTTACATTCCAGGACAGTATGTGGCTCATTTTTTTTTTTAAGTCAGTGACGAGTCTCCATGCTAATTAGCTGCTAAAGAGCAAATCAGCTGGAGGTATGAGGTGAGTCTACCATGGCCCAGAATGCATTGCTGCCACAGAGCTCCACGTACCACACGAACAGAACCACACTGAAACAAATATGGCAATACGAAGAGCACAGCTGAGTCAAAGAACGAAAACTAGATATGAAATCAAAGCATCGACATCATCATCATCATCATCATCATTGCCGTTATCGTCATTCTGGTATCTTTTCTTTGTATAAACAACGTTTTTAATAACAAATCTAATAGAAAGATGAAGTGGTTCTCTCTCTTCTCTCCTCCTCCGCTCCCTTCTCACTCCATCACACCCTGGAAGACTGGAGTAAGGGGAAAAGAGTTCACGTAAATTGTGTATATACATGTATTCAAAGTGGATGTGAGCATGTTTGTGAGGGGTCAGTGTGCTTGCATGTCTGTCAATTTTGTGCAAGTAAGCAAACAATTGATACAGTGCAAAAGGAATGTTAAAAGATGTCAGCTTTAAAATAATTGTGCTATTGAGTTGACAACGTTCTTGCTTTATTGTTATTATTATTATTATTATTCTTATTATTATTACTATTTGGTAGTTTGGTTGTTTGGCAAAGTATCTGTTATAAAACCATGGTGGGAAGCGCTCCCACCATACTGTAATAAGAAATCTGAAGGTGGTGTCTGCCTCTTGTCCCCTTTGTGCCATCCCTAAAAGAACGAGGGATGATTTCAGAGAGGAGTGAAAGGGAGGGAGGCCAGGGACTGGAGAGAGAGAACTTCACAGACATAAAGAAAGGACCAAGAAATTTACCCCCCCTCCCCAATCCATTCAAAGTTTCTTTGTTTGTTTTTTTTTCTTTTGCTGTTGTTTCAATCATGCAGGATTTTTCCGAGGGATTTTTTTTTTAATTCTAGGAGTTCAAACAAAGCTGAGCAGTGCAACAGAAGAATCAAGCTCCAATGTTTCCAACAAGAAGTAGAAGAAGAAGCCGTAGAAGAAGAAAGAGTGAAGACCGTTTTGTTAATTTTTTTTTCCTCCCCTCTTTTCGCTTTTTTGTATTTTCTTCTCTCTTGAGTTTGGTGGGGTCGGTAGCCATGACAGTTCCCAAAAACTCAGTCAGGGTGTGTGTGCGCCCCTGCCTGACCCCTAACTTTTGGCAAAAACCCACCCTCATACACACACACACACACACACACACACACACACACACACACACTCAAACAGCCAGTGGCCTCACCCTTACTGAAATAATTATTAACAGTAAACACAGATGATAAAACTCATCAATATTACCCAACATGTGGGTGGATTTTTGCAATTAGACGGAGCTCCAGGTCAAGTTGTGTAAAGCGAGTGTCGATTCTCCGTGTAGCTTCTCAACTCAAGTGAGAGTTCTGGCCAGTGGTGACTGTGATGCGTCACTTTCTGCATGAACGATGCGTCTGGAAAAGAGTGCAGTACATTTCTCCTCTGCATTATAATGTTATGCAAGTCCACTTTTTTTTCTTTTCTTCTTTCAGTGTTGGTATTTTTTACCTACATTTTTTCCCCATGTTATGCTTCCCTTGTCCTTATGTTCACTTTAAGCAGTCCAAAACATTTGCAGGGAAACATCAGAGGAAAGAGAAAACACAAAGAACAGAAAGGAAAGAATCATGCCTTGATTTTCCTCTTTTGGAGCCTCCAAGCACACTTAGTGCTTCCCTGGAGCATGCAGACTTGGGGAAGCATCTGGCCTTTGTTACGGCCTTCATTGTAGCCTTCATGGTGGTCTTCAAGACGGCCTTCAAGACGGCCTTCATTATAGCCTTCGCTGTGGCTTTTGCTGTGGCCTCTTCTGTGGCAGAGTCCCATTTCAGCGAGTGCTGAAGCGCTCCCTTGTTCCCTTTTCCCCTTGTTCCCTCCCTCCCCTTTCCCCAGAGGCTAGCACCAGTCGTCCTCATCAGTCTCACTGTAGGGTTCGTGCAGGCCCTTCCTGGGCCCTCTGGGGTGTGGGGGTTTGTGGGGTCCAGGGTGTGTGGGTGGGTGGTGGTGGGGGGAGGGTGAAGAGGAGCGGTACCCGTTGGGCATCCGGCGGGCTGGGGGGGGTACTGGCTGGCCCTGCTGGACGGGAACATGGCGGGAAGTCCTGGGTGAACGTGGGTGCGGAGAGTTATGAGGGTGGTGGGGGTTGCCCTGGGCGGGTGGGCTTTGATCATAGGCCGGAGGCTCATGGCGGCCAAAATCATAGTCCTGGTCATCATAGAAACCACCATCGCCCACCATCACCGTGCCCTCCGAGGTGCCCGGGCACCAGCGGCCATGCCGAGGAGAGCCATGGTGTGATGGGGGCAGCGAATGGTGGGGTGGTGTGGGAGTGGGGAGGCGGGTCTGAGGGCCGGAAGGGGGCGTGGCCACAGGTTTGCGGACCACAGGTGAGTAGGTGACATGGGGCCGCGGGGTGGCTGGGGTTTGGGGCAGCTGGCGGCGCCCTCTCCTGGGCGTGCTGGTCCCGGACGTCGAGGGGGCGGGGCTTCCGCTCACTGAACTACTGCCCTACACGAAAATGGAACAAGGCAAATAAAAACAAAAGAACAACAAAATTTATCCCACAACACGAGAGAGAGAGAGAGAGAGAGAGAGAGAGAGAGAGAGAGAGAGAGATGGAGAGAGGAAAAGAAAAGTGAAATGAGAGATACCGGGGAGAGAGAGGGACATGAAAAAAGAAAGAGAGGAGAGGAGAAAGAGAACCAGTTGAAAAAGGAGAGAGAAATAGAGAGAGAGGGAAACAGAGAGAGATGAAGAGAGGTAAAGAGAAGGAGGAAGAGGGGTGAAAACAGATACCAGGGAGAGGTAGAGAAAAAGGGGGCAAAAAAAGGAAGATAGGAGTAGGTAAAAAAGAGAGAGGAAAAGTGATGAAAAAAAAACAAAAAACCAAGACCAGGGAGAGAGAGAGAGCAAGAGAGAGAGAGAGTAAGTGGGAAAGAGACGGAGAGAGAGACACACAGACGAAAATGAGAGAGATCGAGAAAGAGAAAAAGAGAGAGAAAGTACAAGACGACAACGACACAACAGCAGTAAAGGGAAAAAAAGTGAAGTTGTGAAAGAGTGAGGGAGGAGAGTGAGAGTGGATTGGCGTTAAAGAAAGACATTGAGAAGCGGGAGAGCAGCATGACGAAACGCAAATAACGAAAGAAAACAAACGACCCAACGTTGAGAAGCGACATGTCACAAAGAGAGGACACAGAAAAGAAAACAAAACAAAAAAGGAGAAAACAAATGAAGAGGAGTTGAATTCCATTGGAACGGTGAAAAAACTAGCTTCAAAGTCAATCTGACATGTTTCTCATACACATACAGGCTCTCTGTGAGGTTTGTGAACTGTTTGTGTCAGATTAGCATCAGCAGCCATGCAACATTCTTTCAGGCTCTCATTGCCTGAATACGGTATTAAGGGTGGGCGATATGAAAAATTATAAAATTGCAATACTTCAAGGCATTTTCGCCATATATGTACACGTACCCTTGCTAGAGTTGTTACTGTGCCAAGGCGTAGGAATTTACTTCACTGTTGAAGACACTCGAAATATAATTTTGCTGTACACCGGGAATGTGAACTTCAAAGCAGCAACAGATTAACTCTGCAGTCCACATCTGTTGTAAACAAGTGCTGCATTTCTAGTCAGTAATATACCATACTGTAGCTACCAAAACATGGAAAACATGCTATTAAACCAAGCAACAACTTTGTAAACATCCAAGAGCCATTCTGAATGAAGCAACACGTCTACTTTATGTACATTTGTTTAGCGCAGTTTGCTGCTAATCACATAAAGTCAGCTGTTTGCCTCTGAAATGCACACTGCCCACCAGCCACACCAGTGAGTACTTTCACTCAGGCACTCTGTTTTAGCTTACAGTGATAGCAGAATATCACTGAGCTGGAAGATTTTATGGAAGAGTTCTACTCAAATATATATTATCAAATTAGCTATGTATTTTTGTCAGATACCACCTTTGATTCGCCAAAGTTAACCCAATGAGAACCACCATCTTCAACAGCACAGCTGCCAAAAACATCTCAGAAAAATAAGTTTTTTTAAAATAAAAGTAAATGGAAGTAGATTTTTTGATTACATTTATCATACAGTGAAAATTTCAAACTGTAACACCCCTAATCCTGACTTTAGGATTCGAAGTGTATGAACAAGTTGGAAAAGATTAATAAACAGAACTACTTTTAAAAGGCTGAAAAACATTAAGCAGAATTTTATTTTTAAATTCAATAAATGTAATTAAATGTATAAAAATATTTAGGCTGGAACAGGAAGAACAATCAAACAACTGGTAAAAATAAATGAGCAAAATAAGATGATGTCTTAATGGGCTACCCTCCAATCCAGGTTACTATGCAGTTTATATATTTACTATTCACTGGTTGATGTTCACAGACGTGTTCACAGTAACTGGTCTGTCATTTTATGATACATGCGTTTGATCAGTGTTCTAAAAGCACTGATGACACAAAAGTACACTGTGACAAAATTTAATTACAACAGTGTTCACCTATCATCATATCACCCACCCCTATACAGTATACAACAAGGTAGTGTTCCAATAAAAACACACAGACATGTTCCAGTGACAAAAGAAAAGCTTTGCAGTGGAAAGGAAGCTCGGAAATCCATCAGTTTTGATGGATTCTCTTTGGAGTGAGATGAGGGTGTGTGTCAGTGTTTTTCTGTGGTTGTGTGGGAGTGAGTGTGTTTAGCCCACCTGTCTGTGAGTGAGGCACTCGCGGCCCTCACTAGGCGAGCGAGACCAGCGGCGGTCCCTCTCTCGTGGCGGCCTGTGCCCGTACTCCCCTCGCTCTCTCTCAGGCGTGTAGCGCTCCTTCTCCATGGAGCCATGGTGGTGGTGGTGATGGTGGTGGTGTCGGCGGTCCTTTGCTCTGCCCCGGTCTCGGTCCTTCTCTTTGGGCGGCAGGTCGCCGGACTGGGTCGTGGTGCTCAGGTCAGTGCCCAAACCTGCGGGTCACAGCCAGCAAAAAGATCATAGTTGACTACGGTGCCAACGAGTGCTTGAGACAATATTTCAAAGTGCTTCAAAAAAGCATTTGTTTTAAGTGTTTTGAGGTATTTTCTACACAAAACACAAAACAGTTCTTTGAGGCAGATATCAAAGTGGCCAATTCACATGATCTCAGCGTACAAGGCTTTGCTGCATCATACTGTTTCAAATATAGCTTTGAACCGTTTAGAAGTTTTGGTTGTTAGCCATTAGTAGAGCCAGAGAATCAAGAAGATCAACAGCCATGAACAGCATCAGTGTACTCCTTTCTCTGTATTTCAGACCTGTGTCAGCATCGGTGTAGCGGCTAAGTGAACGCTCAGAGGCGCGGTGGCTGCGTTCTCTGCGCCGATGCCCGTGTCTCTGCCCTTCCTCCGGAATCACCCGCTCCATAGCGTAATCCTCGCCCCGTGACACCCGGCCCAAACGTCCGTGACCCAGCGATGAGGCCGAACGCTTCATCGGGCTGCTGTCTGTGATGGTCTGTTGACGTGTGGGAGGGGGAAGAGAGGGAGGAGAGAGAAAGAAAGAGAGAGAAAGGGAGAGAGACAGAGAGAGAGAGAGAGAGAGAGTAAAGGAAGAGAGAAGTATCCAAATGATTAAAGAGTCATGGGTCAAAAGAAGCTGAGAGGGGAGTTTAAAATCTAGACTGACTGACAGAACTTTATACAGAGTTGCCAGTTAATAAGAAACATATGCTTACTGGTCACTTAATCAGGAACGTCTACCACATATGTCTACAGTTACTGTAGGCCATCTGTTACTATGACCCCTTTACCCTCAAGCCCTCATCAATGAAAAGGGACCACCATAGGACCACCACTGACCAAATACTTTTATAATCTGTGTGGTGCTGGTTCAAGTGTATAAAGCAGTGTTTCTGGAGTTTTTACGTATGTTGGTGTCACTGCTAGGTTGAGAGGGGGCACCACCCTAAAACATCCAGCCAATAGCAGCTCTGTGGTCAGAAACTGGCCACTGGTGAAGGGCTAGAGGATGGCTAACACAAACTGTGCAAACAGATAGACTACTGTCTTTACCTGTACACGAGCAAGGTGGAGCTATAAGGGAGGGGTTTCCAATGAAGTGGTTAGTAAGTCTATACAATAGGGCTGAAAGATTAATCGTTTGTATAACAATATCACAATTTAAAAGAGTGCAATTTTCAAATCACAAGAGCTGTAATTGTTTATCATAGCCTACATTATGAACAACCAAATAGTATCTGTTCAATAGCAGTCCTGTGATCAGAAACTGACCAATGGCTAATGGGGAAGAGCGGGGCAGCCGAAGGTGACACAACATATGGGCTGTACAGTCTGTAACTGTACATGTACATAGTAGACTTTTAACATAATGTTTCTGATAAAATGGCCAATGAATAGATACAAAGTAGGAGGACCTAATTAACTGGCAACTCAGTTGTGTTTTTCTACGTTTTTCTGTGTGTGTGTCGTTATGTGTGTGTGAGTATGCAAGACTGTGTGTGGGTCTGAATGTTGGTGGGAGTTTATTGTGTTTGGCCTGAATACACACACCTAACCACACACACCCACAAACACACAGTGAGTCAAATTCCAGCGTCTCCATAGCCACATCCATCATGCAACCTTCAGCAGGGATAAAGGGAAAGAGAGACGGAGCAGGAGAGAACATAAACGGCAGCTGAAGAGAAACAGCACCAAAGTTCATGCCTCGCATGCATCCAGGATTCAACCTGAAAAAGACAAATTACCCAACAACTTCTAAATGACTCCCATTACTCCCTCCCAGCTCACTGAAAACCAAAGCCCACTTCATACCATCACACTTCATACATGGGAGGACAAAGAAGCCTGTTCAGGGCCTTATTACATACTTACAAAGTGTCTTTATCTCTTTTAACTCATTCAAATCTAGTAGTAGTTGGTGAGCACGCACTTCCATGTCATAGTAAAACAGATTAGTGCGTGGAATTGGAGCTTTCTGTCTGCTGCAGTGTTTCCTATCACAATATTAAAGAAGCTTCACGCTGCCTTTATTGTTGGATGCTCAACAGTAGTTTCTAAGCAAGCATTCACAAACATTTTTATCGCTATAGAAATGCCTATTATTGACTTTTTAAATCATCAATCAAAAACATATTGGTAATGATAAAAGGTCACTGGAGTGTGAAGTACATTACTGTTTGTGTGTTTGCTTAAATTAAATTGATCATTTGTCACACAGAAAGTAAAATTTACAAATTAAGCTTTGGTAGATCATGTTCTTGACAGATTCTGATACGGCAACAGTATTGAGAAACCACATTATTTAGGAGAATAGTAGATTAAAAGGCAGAATTAGATGCTTTTGAGGCAGGCAATAGAGGGTTAAGCCTAGCCATTAGAAGCCCTTCATCATGGACCCACACACACACACACACACACACACACACACACACACACATTTCTATATCGCTGTTGTTGGAAGAAAACCTCGCATCTTTACAGGAGAAGGAAAAAACATACTTTACTTTTAATGTTAGTCAATGGAACCAGACATTTTTCCAAGTCCTTTTGGGTCATTTCTTTTAGTCCATTCATCATGAAATTTACACACAATGTAAAGGGCAACAGGCATTTTAAAATTATGTCAAAAACTGAAAAACGTCAAAAATGGAGATACAAGGTTTTCTTCCAACAACAGCGATATTTTCTATTGCCTAAGACATCTAGGGATGCAATGATCACCGCAACACAGTGATGTAGGCCTGCAGCAATTGAATATTTTCAAAAAATAATAAAAATAATATCTCAAATATTGTAACAGAATAAGAAAAGCTCAAGAAATGTTTTATTTTAATAACAGAATCGCTTTTTTGATAAAAATTTAAGTACCTTGTAATGCTGATAAATAACTATTTTCACAGCAGGTTGCATTATAATGCTAACAGGAGATTCTCCCTCATCTGGCGACTGCAAACCGTTTTGCTGGCTTTGTCTGAACAGCTTTAAGCTGTTTTAAATATTTTAATGTAAAATAAGGTACTGTTCAGGAATCTGCATGTCAAAAATGGAAAACTTCTGAACTATAAGGTACAATTTGCATACAGCCCATCCCTCCTCATGGCGGTGGTATCGCATATCGCAGAGATAGCACTCAAACATTGTTCTGACTAAACCACGCCCACATACAAACTCAAGCACAGATGTAAGCAGGCATGCACATGCATCGGTGGGCCCTGACAGCACATTAGACAGCTACAAAACCTAGACAGAGAGACGGACATACAGGTTGCAAAGCACACAGATGGTTGATACATAGAAGAGGGCTCTTTGCCGAATAATGATGTCAGCAGTTACTACACTTCAGGCCAAAAGTTTGGAAGAAACACTTTGTAAAACCAATCACAAAAATGTTATTTTAAAACAGTAACATGTTTACGTATTAAGAACAGCCTGGTCTGTTCTTAAACGTGTGCTGCTGATTTCTGGCTTCCTTTTGTGTGCGTGTGCAAACTACATTACGTTCATGATTTCTGTTGTTTCTATTTATAAACATTCATCTTCAGTTTGAAAACTCAAACTGTCTGCTGTGTTCTGCAACACAATGATTTTTGTTCATTTTAATAGTTCCTTATGAAGACCTGGATGCAGTTTGCTTCTTTCAGCACGTTTTGAGGATGTATTAATGTAAAAGATTTAGTTATAGACTTCCTAGTGTTTGTAAGCAACATTAGCCTTCTAGCTTCAGTTTTAAACTAAAGAAACTAAATTTAGACACTAATGTTTTGGCTGATCGACTACATCTGCGGTAAGGGGAAAATGGTTTAACTTTGAGTTTTTGCTAAGCCATTCTGTTGATTGTAAACTATTTTTTAAATGATTTAAGTTACCATTTTGGTTTTGTTAATGCTTCAAATGAAATGTCAAAAATGCTTTAAATAAAATGGCAAAAATGATAATATCACAATACTTCAAAAAGTGTTCACGATATGCGATGTCACAACGTATTTTTCTAAGTAGTGGCACATTTTAAAAAATACTATAAAAATCATGAGTTTAATGATTTGCACTCAGCATTTCACATATTGTGCTGCACTAAATCCAATTAAATTATACTGTCTTTGTAATCAAAAATGCAGCTGACAAGTGTTTTTTTTAAGTACGGATGATATCCATGATGTTCAGAAAAGCATACTGTGACATATTCTGACGTAAATCTTCACAATAACGATAAACACCATTATTTTGCCCAGGCCTACTTCAAAGTAATTTAACTTATTGCCATGTCTCTGTGTATCCTCTGCAGCAGGTAAAATTTAACAGCCTTTGTTGCCATAGCTACCCCATACTATTCAGTGTTTGTATTATGCGATGTTAAATATTTTCTAACAAAAAGTAAATAAATAAACATGTCTATATCCTAAAAGGTACCACCATTTACATTTGAATATAAGACAATTTAATTCTAATTAAGGCTTTTAATTTGTAAAATTATTGTAATGTAATTTCAGGCAACTTAAGACTTTTAAGGGCATGGAAACACCCTGTGAAACTTTAAAAATCACTGCTTTCTTCCATACATTTGGTTTGTGGTGTATGCGTTAAGGAATGGAAGAGAGTGATGGCTGGAGGGAGGAAAACAGGAAGGGATGGAGGAAGAGTGGCAGATGGTAATAAAAACATACACCGAGGTTATTCCCCCGATGCCTTCCTCTCCTCCTCGGCTGCTGCTCAGCCATAAACAAACACAGCCGCATCAGCAGCACAGATGGCACAGCACACAAAGACACAGACAACCGCACAGAACGACAAGCACGGCCGACAGAGGTCACAGGAATGCATGATTGGAGGAGAGAGGAGAGCGAGGGATTACGTTTAAAGAGGACGACCAGGTGGGGAAGAATGGAGGGATGGGAAGGACCAAAAAGAAAGGGAGTGAAAAGGGAGTGAAGAGAGAGAGAGAGAGAGAGAGAGAGAGAGAGACAGGGAGAGGGAAAGAGAGTATCCGGTTAGAAACAGAAGCAGCGGTGACAAGGAGAGACACTTACCACAGTAGCACACACACACTGAGGGCCAGAGGCAGTGTTAGAAACACCACGGCAACACCATCGACGCCACGCCACAGTACGCCACACAACATGATAAAGTGATGTGCAGTACACGAGACACAGAGAAAATTACGATACATAATGTGCTGCAGACATGTACAGTAAGCGTGGGACCATGGGACTATTCTACATTTATATGTTGAACAGAACTAGGGCTGTCACAATTACTCAATTAAAAAAAAGATCACTGAATTAGGGATGTGCTTTCTGAATAATTTTGATATTCAAGTATCTCTAAGACTAAAAGTGGAGAAGGAAGAAGGCCAAAATGAACACTGGGGCTGTAGGCCTACTTGTGGCTAAACCGTTCAGCTGCACAAAAATTTAGCTGCACACATTTACATACATCTAAAACAAGGATTAGGTCTAAAGACAGCTGAGGAAACTGCCTCTTCGGATGAGCTAAGGCTAACACTAGAGCTAATGGGTACAACATTTGATGCTGATGAGGACTCCTTTCTCTTCTGTGGACGATGTCACCACATGTTTGTCTGTTGAGGTAACACTGAGAACACTTATCTTTTCATTGTTTCTGGACCTAGCTAACATCTGACAGAGCAGTAAGCCTAGTGATGAAGCTGCACTTATCATCACTCACAGAAGTTCACTTACATCCCTAATCAAACATTCCTAATGAATCTGCAGTAATTAGTTGGTAGTTTGAATGATGTAATTGGACCTCATTCATCAATATCTTGAAGTTTTTTCTTAAGTTAGCTCTTGAGAAATGTCCTAAGAAAAAGTCTACGTCAGATTTGTGACGTGATCTTAAACCGCAGAACCTTTGTGCTCTTGAGCGTGCGTAGATTCTGTTCTCAAACATCCCAAACAAGAAAACACTGGTGAACGTCAGAACCTTCATGAAAACTGCGTAAGCAGGTTTTAAGAAGAAAGTTCTTCTTAAGAACGGTTGGTGAATAAGGCCCAATGTGTATTTCAAATTCGAATGCATACTGTGATGCATATTTTAAATTCTACTTTCAATTGTTTGAAAAATTTCTTACAGTAAGAAACAACCTCATTTCTGTGCATTTTCAGTCCCATTTTATTTTGTTTTTAAGTAAAGTCATTTTAAAGGCTTTACAGTTTTTTCCAAACAAAGCGGAATAGAGCTTTGTTCGGTTCAGTCCATTTATATTGTATACATATATAATAGAAATGGACTATATATATTGCATTGTATGTATATTTCATATACATAATATGTGCTTGATTAACTCAATCGCTAATATAATCGACTGTGACAGCCCCATACAAAATCTTTCCTAAGTACCGTGTAATGAAGAGATGTCATACACAAGGGTCAGGTGTAACACATACACCATTTACCCTGCCCACTCAACATATGCACACCCAAACACACACACACACACACACACACACACACACACACACACACACACACACACACAGGTTCAGTGCAGACTTCTCTAATCAGTTTTCATTTCATTTGGTTTATCATTCTGGACTAGTTATGGAACTCCAAATTAAAAACAAACTAAAGGGGAAAATGTGTTTTTATTACAGAGGACTCTTGCAAAGGGGGAATATACTCAAGAGTATGTACAATATTCCAAGCTTATTGTTGCTAGACTCTTGTTAACATAACACCTCAAGAATCTCCATCACTTCTTTAGTAAGAAAGGGAATCCCAAGCTGAAAAAAGAAAGTAAATCATCTATATTTGATAAAACTTAAAGTAAAATACATACAGGACATGCAAGATGTTAAAAGGAAGGAAGGACTTGTTGTAAAATAAGCATCTGACCAAGGTAGTGGGAAAGGAGCAATAAATGAGGGAAAAAGAGAAACTGATGTTGGTATAAAATCAATATTCAGGTGTATGTGTGTTCTATTTCCTGTGTGTTATTCTGTACATGTGTGCATGTATGTGCATTGTGTGAGTGAATAACCACGACAATCACTGGAGCACATGGTGTAGCGAAGATGGCGTGGCATGGAATGAAGGTGGGTATTTTTCAGCTACCCAGGGGCAGGCACAGAAGAAAAAGTCAAATTTGCTGAGAGGGAATGGTCTAATTTCAAGCCTATTTCATACCTGCAGAAAATATGCATTTTAAGTTATGAAAGCACATACTGTGTACTCTAGATATTGCATATCTAGAGCATTTAAATAATTTTAGTGTTTATAGGCAAAAATGTATTTTTAAATACATCTTGTCAAACACATTTTCATAGTTTTAAATACTTAAAATGGATATTTACCCTGGGTCATTTACAAAAAAGGAGAATAAATTACTTTATATATATATATATATATATATATATATATATATATATATATATATATATATATATATTTTGTGGTGTTCCACAAGGTTTAGTAAAATTTTATTTCCAGTTCAGGGCCTATGTGCAGTCTCAGCAAGCTTTCAAAGTTAAGCAATCTTAGCTCCTCAAACTCTATGGTTTGTGGGCTCACACTTAGATTCCTGACGCTTATTTCATAACACAGAAATGAGTTTCAAAGCGGCTGGATAATTCAGATCAGTTACTGATTACTCTTCTTACTGAATACGTCTTAAAATGAACAGCTGAATAATAAGCTTGCAGTTTAAGGGGTTAATCATTATACAAGGAAACCATTCTACAATATTTTGATTCTATTTTCATCCAACTATACCTTTAAATTTAATGCTATTACACATCCTCTTCCTTACCCAAATGCCCATATTACAGGAAAAGATAAACAATTTTCTTCCAATAGAGGGCCACGTTCATTGCACACAAAGGCAGCAATGGGAAATGACTTGTCCAACGAAGAGGGCTGACAGACAGTGGGAAACAGAAAGGACGGCAGGGAAAGAAGAGGGAAGACAGGGAAAAATGACAGGATGAAAGTGCTCACTTGGTTGTCTGCTGGGAGTCGAGGCATGGAAGCAGCCCTGCCATGGCCTTCCATCGGCAGGAAGTGCTCAGTGTCCGAGAATCCGTCCCGCCCCATCTCTCTCATCTCTACCGTCTGCAGAAACAGAGGGAGAGCATGTGTGACTGGCCAGGGGCAGCAGGCCTGGGAGGGGAGGCCAGGAGACAGGCCTGAACCCCGCAGACAGAAGGAGACCTTTCTGAGGAGATGCATTATGTGGCAGGACAGTCCGGTCCCAGCCTCTGCTCTATGCCCTCAAAACCTGACTGAGAATAGGTTTCTAGTAGTAGTGCAATTCACCTTTTTCAAACGCCAGCCATTTTGCTTATTAAGGTGGTAACAAACTTCAAACAAAAAAAGACGAAGAGACTTCGATCCAGAAAGACGCAGTGGTTTGAATTCACACATTGTGGTGTATGCTGGCTGCCAAACAGCACTCCAAACACTGCATTCTTTATTCTTAGACCTGCCCCTGACTGTGATCTATCCCAACATGACATAGTCAATTATATCACTGCAGGAGGGACAGTTCATTTCCACATGTAGATTTCAACACATGTGGTGCAAATTGTTTTAGAAAAACATGCTCAGATGTCTCTTTGAGTATACATTCAACTGCATGTTTGGCAGTGGTTCTTTATCAGTTTATCAAGTTAATTTTAGCAAGTTAATTTGTCGTCTGAATTATATGGCCATTTTTAGACACAACACAGAGTATATAAAAGCGAGTACTTCAGTACAATATCTGCCACTTTTTTTGGCTGTGGGAAATGCAGAGATGTGTACTGTCAACAGACCCAGTAGGGGCCATTAGAAGCTGTTGCAGTGTGTATATTCCAAAATTTGTAATGAATTAGATGTCTTAAATAACTGTATTTCTATGAGACACTTTGTGTTAGGACATTTGCAGAATGCAGCTAAGGATTTAAAAAAAAAGGTACCTGAGTATGTTATAGTATACTTTAGTTTGCTAACATAACCTGCTAACCTAGGTATGAATTTAACGACGTGAGGAATGTGTGCGGTAATTTGCGAAAATGGTGTTTGACTTACATATTCAGGCACTATATTGTGAAGACACAATACAGTATAAAGTGTAAGAATCTAGCGCATAGTGTAATTTATGTTCTATTTTTTTATAGCTGCTGACTAACTACTGTGTTCCCACCCTGTCTGATTAGCAATATGGCCACATGTGAACAAGGTGAATTTTTTGGTTTGGTCAGATAGAAGGGTCAGGTTGTAGGAGACTGCAGTTCATAAATAAGAGGGCTGTATAAAATCTTGTTAGCATTGCAACCACTCACAGGCACACACTCACTCCTCCCACACCATATGTTCACATTAGGAGGCAACAAGTTGCTAATGTCGCCCCAACTTGCTTGTGGGTGCTTCTGAGCAGCTCTTTTTGTTGCATGTAAGCTTTTGATGAGAAAATGTAAAAAAAAAAGCTACATATTGATCAGGGTTATAAGTTTGTAAGTTTCCTTTCCATTTTTTGTGTGATACAGTTGGGAATAGGGACAAAATCCTAAAAGGAACACGAAGTTCAGAGAGTGAAGGCTGGAAATTCAGGACCCACATGTCTATGATTTTTTTTTTATGACTAATTTGTTGTAGCTACCATGTCATAATTAATGTGCATAAGGCTGACAAAAATCTGTCGCCTGCTAATGTGAACGCAGAGTAACAACATATACATACGTTCACATACATAAAGACTAGGAGTCTAAAAATGCATTAAATTGCTTTTCCTATGTGTGAAGGTGGCGATTCGACTGTAATGACTTTGGATTATCAGAATCTATCATAATCAATATTCAGTGAGATATAGGCTCAATGTTTGTCCAAAGTATAACAACTTTCCAATACACTGACTTTTGTTTTTATTATTTATAATCACTTAATGTGTAAACAGCTCCTCTAGTTACATTTGAGAATTCAGTGTATTTTTACAAACATTTCTGAGTTGTACCAAAGTATTCAAAGTGAACTTAGTTCAAATCTGACATTTCATGAGGCATCGCATCGTTTTTGAAGAACTGTAATCAAATCATTGTGAGATCAGAGAGTTAAATCCCTAAAACACACACACACACACACACACACACACACACACACTGAGGAGTGGTATTTGGTCCCACATAAGCATTACAAAGTTAGCAGAGCCGGACAGGAGTGCCTTTAGAAGTCCAGAAGGGTTCAAACATCCCTCCCAGACAGCTGAGCATGGATGAGCTTATGAGATGAGATGATTTTTTTTACTGTCAAAGGCAGACACAGAGAAACTGGAAGAAAAACAGGAGCGATCAGAAGAGAAAGAGAATGGTGAGATGTTCCACGGAGTCCAGACTCAGTCACTGTCTGCTATATGCACATGGAGGGAGGGCAGACAGACTGGTCCATCACTGCCATGGCAACAGAGTACTCCAGCAATATACCCACCACAAATAGTCTGGAAACAGCTCTGTTAGCAAACACTGCTGGAAGCAGGAAACATTTTTTGACTCATTCGGCAACGTCCCAAATCTCCAGTGCGCGCATATGTGGAGTGGCGTGACGCTAAAAAGTCCTGTGGAGGCTGTGAAAATCCTGCTGTTGTGTGAGTGTTAAAATCCAAATAACACGAGTCATTCTTCCATCACTCATGTAAATAACATTTAACCCTATAAAACTTATTTAAACATTCGCCCAGAGTAGTTGTACAGTAGTTACAGCTGTAATGTGCATAGATGTCCATGTCTGTTAGTAAAATAGATGTGTGCTATTGTGTTTTCTATCACTGTACAAAACAAGCCCCTTGCTAGCTTTATTGTGGGATGGACTGTGATAGTTTCTGAAAGAGCTTACTCTCATTCTGAATGCAAATCACTGATTACTGATTTGTTTTATCAAAGTAATAAGGCCACTGAACTGTGAAGTATATTTCTGTTCATGTGTTTGCAAAATAAATGTGACATTACAAAGTGGAATCATGTTATTAATAGGGAAAAGTAGGCAAGTAAGGAAGTATTAGCTGTTTTTTGTGCAGATATTAAAGGAGCACAGCGACAAAACACCTGTACTGTTTCACCTCGTCAAAGTGTTTCAATACAAGCCAGAAGCTCTTTTCTTGCTAAACATTCAAAAATCTCTAAAAAATGCCCGTAATTGACTAACCTCTTTCATGTCAATATTAGTGCATGTTTGAGTGTATGACAAGGTGTTTGCATGACGTGTAATTCTGTGAACAAGTGAAGCTGTAAAATCATAAGTAAACTATGTCTAGACTAATATAAAACCTGTCACAAATGCTGATTTTAAGGTGTTAAAAATTCTGACAACCAGTAATCAATATTTCATACAGTAAAAAAAAAAACAGACTCCAACAGTGCTAGGTAAACAATAGTTTACTGATTGATGACAGTTAAAAAAGTATTTGTCAGTTCTCAAACTGAAATAAAAAGTCTTAACATAAATTTAAAAACAAATTTATTGTAATTACCTTAAATCTTAACCTTAAATAGGTAAATAGGTGTCAAACTCTTAAACAGAAGTTATTTCAGCATCTGACAGTAAGTCTGAATGCATTCCTGAATGTGGTTTTCTTGTATCATACACTTAAATGACTTGTTCACTGAAAAATCAAAGTTTAACTTTTTAAGTTTACCTGTGAAGAGGGCCGGTTCTCAGCCGTGTTCTCTGGGGGCGGACCCTCTGGGCTCCAGCTTCCTGCTTTCTGAGACATCTCCTGGGCTCTGGCTGTCACCCATGACTGGCTCTCTGGGATGCCTCCATCCACCGCCCTAAAATACATACAGACATGTGCAATCACAGCCTTTTTCTCCATTGCACTCCTACAAAGGTCTGTATTTCACTAACATTGCTCCACAGTAAAGCTAATTGATAAGAGATATTCATGCTATTGACCTTGTAAGCACTTACAGTGACTGCTATGTGTACTTGTGTTATATATATACTTTCAATTGTTAATAATTACTGCATGCTGATTACTTAAACCATTTGTTGCAAATCATTTATCTATAATTGACCATATATCTACCAGATATTCTGGGTGCAACGTCCATATGAGAACCTACTAACCCTTGTCCGTATGACAACCTACTAACTCTTGAGGCACAGGGTTTTAACGTTGTGAAGTGAAATACAAGTTAAATGACAAAGAGACAGTGACTAAAAAAAGAGACTAAAACATTCTACAGGGGCGTTATTCTTATACACCTAGGAGTTTGGAAGAGTTTGTGAAACGATAACACGGACTGTGAGTACATATCACACCTCGCAGCCACCTCACACACTTAGTTCTGGTCCCAAGAGTTTAGACAGTGTTATTCTGATAGTAAACATGTTCTTACAGCCCATGTTCGAGGCTTGTGTTTCCATCTAACCACTGCCATTCTGAAAGGATGTCTCTTAATAACACGTCTTTTAAAACCCAAATTTTACGTTTTAATAGGCAGATGACAATCAATGCAACACTGGCGGCGTAAGTTTCTTAAACTTTAGAAAATTGAGCAGGGTCAGCACCACATGTAATATCTCCACCCATTTTTTGTGCGATCCTCCCACGTTTTGCGCGGCCCTCCTTTAAATGCATGTGCATGAGGAAGAGAGGCATATTTTGGGTTTTACCATGCACATGGCCTGTAAATCTCATGCTTAGGCTCATGTGACAATAACAGAACACACTGGGGCAGAATGTGGTCAATCTGTGCCTGACACTGGCACAAAAAGACTAGACCAGACCTTTTGTCTCAGTGATAAGCTTATAGACTGAAAAAGCGAACATGTTGAATTTACACTGCACTGAATGCTTTAACACACATTATTTCCACATGAATAAAATTACATTACATTACAAAATTTTTGCCAAACATATGACAAAATGTGTTGATTTAATATACACTGACGTGCCAAAAGCCATGGAACAGGAACTAGTATCGTGTAGGACCCCCTTTAGAGTGTCTAAGTACAGGAACTCGACATGGCATTGATTCCACAAGTGGACGGATGACGTCTGGAGGGACATGCCATAAATGCTCGATTCGGCTCATGTCGGGCGAATATGAAGGCCACACCATTTGTCGGAACTCTCTGGAATGCTCCTCGAACCAATTCTGGACAACTTGGGCCCAATGGCACAGTGCATTATCCTGCTGAAATATCCCATCATTGTGGAAGTAAATGAAGTCCATGAAGGGCTGCAAATGGTCACCAAGCAGTCACCGGTCAATGATGTGTTTAGACAGGCCAGTAGACCCAACCCACAGCCTACACAGTGCCTTGTTGACAACTGGGGTCCATGGCTTCATGGGGTCTGCGCCACACATAAACCCAACCATCAGCCCGAAACGATTGGTACCGTGACTCAATGGACCACGCCACATGTTGCCAGTCCTCTAAGGTCCAGTTAGCAACCTCACGAGCCCAGGTGAGGCGCTGTGTCCGGTGTCATGGTGTTAACAAAGGCACTCTCGCAGGTCTTCTGCTCCCATATCCCATGGAAGCTAAAGAACGCTGCACTGACCTGCAGGATATGCATGTGGGGCCTGCATTGAATGTAGATGTGAGTCTACAAATTCTAGCCAGACGAATGTTAAAAGCCCGCACAACTTCGGAAATAGAATGTCCCATGCGTCTGGCACCCACTATTATGCCTCGTTCACATTGCCTCGTCGTGAGCATGCTGGCCAGCATTCAACCTCACTCACAAGATAACACCTCACAGTTTATTCAGGTGTGGGCATTCCCGAGCCGTCCCTGAAGTAACGGCTCTTGATAGTCTATTTACCAACTGCTATCCCATGACTTCTGGCACATCAGTATATTTCATTCATGTAGAATACAGTGTACATAAATTCAATGCATTACTTAATTCAGTGCCCTCAGCTTTCTCCAAATTCTCACTTTTAAAGTAAAGACATAGACAGAAGCACACATCATGAAAGAGAGGAATGTGTGAAAGCACAATACTTACAGACTGTTGGCAGGGTCTGAGTGTGGTTCAGGAAGGCCGTTGAGTCCCTGTCCCGCCTCCTGTGTTGGGGATGGCGGCTCCAGGCGCTGAAACATTAATGGCGTTCGATTCTGTGTAAGATACAACATGGCCTACAGCTGGTATCAGGCAAGCTGATGGGAAAATGGGGGTGGGAAGGAAAGGACGGGATACAAAGCATCCCAGGTGCAAATGGGAGGGGCTCCATCGGCAACAGCAGACGGTCAGATCGGTCAGCAAGGAGGCATTCTGGGATTTGGAGGCTGGCAGGTTAATGAGTGGATCCTCTGAGCTGAGCTATCAAGAGGCTGCCATGGTACCATGCTGAGAATTCATTTACTCTGGTCATCCCAGTAAATGAATAGCCCCAGTAACCAGTTGGGTGCTGAAATGAGGCACTGCTGAAGCACTGAGGATTTCTGTGTCCTAGTCACTTCTACTCTCTGTATTTGCTCAAATTGGGTGACTTTCATTAAATTCAGGCATGTTTGCCCTTAAAAACTGGGAGGTGTTACATTATGCAATTAATTACATTCCATTCAATTTACAGTCTGTATCATCAACTTTGAAACTGCTTTTTTAAGGATTTTTTAAAATTTTCTTTCCAATTTAGATTTTTTAAAATTTTCTCTACAATTTAGTCATTCAATACCACCCACTAGTTAGGACTCCTCCGATCACACAATACCACCAGCACTAGGAGGGCGAAGGCAAACACAAGCTTCCTCCGAGTCATGTGAAGCCAGCCACCACATCTCTTCGAACTGCTACTAACACAACATCTTTGGACAGCTGAAGTTTGGAACGCTAACCGCCAATTCTGTTACGTGAGCTAACAGATGCCTGGGCTGGCTAGTATCACGCTGAATGGTGGGGGGAGAAGGAAGGCCATCCTACCCCCCGAGAGCGAGGCCAACTGCACTCCTTGGACTCTCGGCCACGGGTGCCTGTACAATCACCAGGAATCAAACTCCCAAAGTCTACACTTCTGACCTTTACATGTCAAAAATGTAAATGATCAAAATCATAATGAAATTCTTCATTACGTAATTCTTTTACAACAAATCTTTTACAATTAGTAGTGATTATGCTAACAATATGCGTAATAACAGTAAGAGACATGGATTTACGGTGTAGAACCTACACCTATGGCATGTACAAAGACACCCAACATGAGCAACTACCAAGAAACATTTAGCTCAAAAAAGCAACTAACTGGTTTCACATGTCCAAAATGAGACCCTGAGGTTTAGAGAATGCAGAACCAGTCAAAAACATAACGCGTCACTGAACAATCAATGAGTTATGCAGGCAGAACATACACTTAGCAAATCCAAGCATCAGACAGAATTATTGACTGGGCATTGGAAAAGTTGAAGGATTATTGGAGATTAGGACAATAAGAGGAAAAAATATACTGTCTCAATATCATTAAGAGTAAATATCCATGGGTAAGACAGGAGAGCTGTATGGGCATTTTTCCACTGCATAAAGTACTGGAAAAAGCTTTTTCCACTGGCCATCAGTCCAGAACTGAAGGTTCTAGTTTTATGGTTTTTGGTACCAGTTCAAGATCGGTATCAACACAACCTAAGGTACTCGAAGGTGTTCTCCTCGGTTTTTGGTAACACTTCCAGCTGAAGCCAGTGACTATTTTCCCAGGTGAAGAAAAAAGCACCAAGCACTATTACATAACCAGTAAGCACATCCAAATGTAAACTAGGGTGGTATGTTGATGTGTCAGTTGCTATTTTGAGAATTATAAGCTAACTCAGTAGCTAATGCTTTTAGCATTTATGCTGGCCTCCACAGAACACAATATTTTCATACTCAGCAGAGATTAATATGAGCTTTGCTTGATTCTACACACATTTCGGTGTAATTATGGACATTTGTAGGAAAAAACAGCTAATCTCTCAGTTCACACGCCCGAAAGGAAAAAAAATGAAGGTTTGCTTTGCAACACTAATCTGCGTAAAGGTAGACACTTTGGTTAGTGCATGCTTAGAACAGGGCCGTATATCATTTCATATCAGCCAATAAGTTAGGCTAACTAGCAAGAAATGTAGCTAATTAAAAAAAATATATATTTTCATTAGAGTGCCACAGAATGACCAAAAAGACAATTATATCCTTAATCACAGTTATTATGGTGGATCCAACAGTCTCTCAAGCCTTTGCAAAAGGAACTTGAACTAGAACCATAAGTTCCATTGGTTCCTTTTTGGGTCAGTTCTTGTTTTTGAATGTGCAGTGGAAAAATGCAGAACTTTGGTGGAAAGTTGGATATGTTTGTTGATTTATATCAAATCATTCTATACCATCCACTTAAAAACATCAAGAGTTGGGCTGGGATGATATGAGAAATCCCAACACTTGAGTAAGTCACCCATGTCTCACTTTTTCACACTTTCTGTCACTTTCCTTCATATATTTAGAGTGGGACTGTTAATTATTTAGTAATGTATATGTATATATTTAAGAAGCCAAACAATAAAATCAATTTAACTGAACAACAACAAATCATGCAGAGCCTTTCCAAGATACCAAAATACTTCACTTGAAACGAGGCAGGCTTAAAAAAAGCACATTTTAATGATTAATGACTTTCAAATTGATCAATCAAGGTTTAACTGAGTAACCTTGACAGCCCCAGCTGAAACCAGTGTATCTTTTACAGATGTAGGGAATTGCCGAGACCATGGAGCCTTGTGAGTTTAAGTGAATGATATAGTTACAGACAATGGACAGGAACAGTACAGAGAAGCTGAAGGCCTATGTTGCATTGCATATCAGCACTGCTACATCATCGGTCACTGATACACTTTTGTGAAATCCTGTGATAACATTAAAGTGGTAGTTACTTAACACTGCCAAAGGCACATTAAACAAACCAGAACTTCAATTTTTTATCCAAAACTTTCATCCAAAATGTTTTATGGAACAAATAGTTAGAACACTGAATGACAACCCAAACTAACTTAGTTATGGCCAGTGCTGGGTAGTATACTTAGGAAATGTAATCTGGGACTGATTATAAATCACATAGACTGTAGTAAGTAATCTTTTAGATTATTTAAAAAAGTAAAATCTAATCTGACTTCTTTGAGATTACTATTACACTAATTATGATCTACGCAGTGGTTAAATGCTGACCACCATCTTGACTGTGTAAAATTGAGGATACAGGCCATATTCACCTAAAACCACATATAACCATTGTTATCAGTCATAATGACATGACCATTATGCAGTTCATAGGTATACAAAATAAGGATGAAGAGATTAATCTACTGACGCTACCTTATCAAAAAAGCAAACCTTAAAAACATCAACGCTTAAAAAAAGGAACTAATCTGATTATGCACACTTGAATTTTATAACCAGATTATGTATTTCAGATTACATATATTCTGTTACTACTCAGCCCTGCTCATGGCCAAACAAATACAGACAATCCATCTCAATACCATATAGTTATAGAACTGCTGCATTTATAATGCACCCGGACAGTCCTTTTTGACTTGCACTGTCAGATTTTTTTTTTTTTTACGTTACCAAAATCAAACTACAGCAACTAGTAAATTTATCGTGTAAACAATGGGATGGCTAAAGCTTGCTTGGTCAACTGTGTGGTAAACTCAGAGCTTATGAGTTCATGAGGACCATACGAGTGCAGCATATGAACACTGTGAAAAATGATTTGGTGTTTTATCTTAGAAAAGAATATAATCTGAACGCCTTAAAATTTCAATGATTAAACTTCAAATGATATATTAACAGAATATAAGACTTATTATTGCTTTGTTAACTATTTTAAACATGAATAAACCTAAAATTTTAAGACAGCCAGGTACACATTTTTTTTAACTTAACAAATCTTTCTTACAGTGTAGCTGTAAAATGAATGGCACACAGATAAAAAACACAGCAGAGAGTCACAATGCTAAATGCAGAGTAGGTATGAGGTTGAACTGGCCAAAGAGTAAGAGCGAGAGCAACAGAAAAAAGAGACAAAGAGACAGAGTGCGAGCGTATTGAGGGTACAGTACCTGTTCGTCTCGGAGAGCCTGGGTCCGCTTGGCTTTGCTCTGTCGGTAATACTCCATAATCATCATGGCAGCGTAGATTTTACCCACCGTCAGGTCTGTCGCTGCTGAGAAAAGGACAAGTTACCCTGCACGATTAGACGAGGGGAGATGAACCCTGAGCGAGGAAGGGGGAGGGGATGGGTGTGTGCAACATTCATGCATACACAAGACTCACACAAGACCCCCTATTTCTCTCACACACTCATACTCACACACACACACACACACACACACACACACACATACACACAGACACACAAAGAGCCAAAGGTCTTTTCACAAACTGGTTAAAAAATTACTTAATTATTATTACTATCATTATACATTATAGACATTTGCTATCATTACACATCCTATTTCAGCACTTATTATTACAGCTTAATACTTTGTACAAATTACTTATATACAAATATTTATTTATTCTTCAGACTATTTTAGCATTAATAAGTATTACACATACTATTTTATTATTATGCAGTGATGCTTCTTTACATTACTGTTCTTACCCAGAAGATCCATTTCTTCTCATTGATTTAAGTCACTTGTTTAAAAGTATCCAGACTGAAGTCCATTTCATAATGTAGATCAGGTACACACAGGCTCAGAGTGGCTGTTTTGCTGCTGTTTGGCATTCTGATGCTGAATTTGAGAACGCATTTTTGGGCAGAGCACAGGTCAATTGAGCTTCAGAATGTGAAAGAGTGTGAAAACAGTCCATTTACAACCAGCCGGCGTTACCGTGTCCACACTGTGAAATGTCCAAGAGTCTTCAGAGGTCAGCTTTACCTTTACTTACACATGCAGATTTAAAGGCATATTCATAAGCCATGTTCGCGGCAGCGTTATTTCAACAAATTATAATCCTCTGCACCAACAAACAGTGGAGGACAAATTTGTACTAAATTCTACATTTCTCATGCTTTTTTGGTAACTCTTATATATATTATCATAAGAAATATGATAAAAAACATTATCATAACCATGCCTCACATTCAACAGTGCTATCTATTCTATATCATGCTTTGTGCATATTTAGTCCCATCATAATTAGGACTAATTGACGTGACTTTGCCACAGGCGTGTTAGAAAAACAACAAAGTCACTCTGTCGTCTCATGCTTTGACTGTACAGGCTTCATTGTATGTTCTGAACTAATCGTGCTTTGTTAATCTTGTTGAGTGTAAATGTTAAATGATCAGCTAATGAACCCTGGAGTGAAAAGACATCTATAGAGAGTTGGTCTATAGTGAAGCACCCTCTGATCAGAGGCACTGAGAGATGAGAGCAAGTGTGAGGGCCTGAATGTGGAACTCATGTGGCTTGAATTAGTGTGATATTGGTGTACAATGTGAAAATGCTGCATTGAATTTACTTGACTCAAATGTGCACATAATTTCCACGTTAATAAAATAATTACATAACATTGAACAAAAAAAAGTAAACAGGAAGTCAAAAACGTGTAGCTATATCACATTCATGTGTAAATGCTGTAGACATTTGAATCAAGTAAACTCACCTTTATTTCAGTGTATTTGGAAGTACACAATGTGTTAAAGGGACTGTGTATTTGAGGTAATATATGCATACAAAGAGCCCACCAGAATTGCTGTCACCCTTATTAAAGATGGAAAAAACGCTGAAAATAAGAAGATAATTATTATTAAATATTAATTAGCTTCTGACCAATCAGGTGGACCCCGGCCCTTTTTTCTTTGTGACATTTGTGGCATCAATCAAGTGAAGCATATCACTTAGTTAGCAGAGGAAACAAATCATACTACTACATGAAGAATATGAAGCATTTTTACTCCAAAAAGCCAGTTGGTAATGGTGACAGCACTGCTTTTTTAACAACATAAATGCTTTATTTTTGCATATTTTTACATCTCTTTTTCCTTCTTTGAAAAATAAGCCGCTCTATTCCTCATGTTTCATGTGACTGGCTCTTTGTTATAAACGCCATGCTTTCATGTGCACACGCATGAAGATTAATCAGGGGTGTAACGGTACGTGTATTCATCCCGAACTGTCACTGTATGGATGCTGCGGTTCAGTGCATGTAGTCATATGGAGAACACACGGTATGTACAGAGATTGAGCAACTGATGAGTGCTGACCGTACAGCATGGGGATAAAATAACTGGCCTTTGGTTTTATTCTCAGGATAGAACTGTCACTAAGATTGGTACAGATATTTTCATGTGATTCTCTAAATCCCATATGTCAAACACAAGGCAAAATTCTATCCAGCCCACGCATTAATTTGGATTTTCTATTAACATAAGCCCATTTCATAATGTGCTGTTGTGAAGACAGCACCTGGGTTCATCTTAAACGAGATGGTTTGTTTGCAAAACATCCTCACACCCCCAAAGCTAGTGGGCGTCACAAATTAATAAATAATTATACTGCTTATGTCCTCTACAGCATTGCACTACAATCCCCAGCATGCATAGCTATGTAATGTGCGCTCCCACCCCCTCCTCCAACAAGAATCTATGGGGCAGTGGGTACACCACAATTCTACACAATTATTTTGAATGTTTCAAGTACTGATATAATATTTAAGGTTTACTACAGGTGACCATATTTTTCTGTGAATGTTTTATGTATTGTATTTTCGAATAAGCAAAATGTTATTTAAAAATGAAATAAAAACATGTTTTTTCCTGGCCAACAGATTTGTTGAGATTTTTTAATATGGCCCTTTTAGTGGTTGAGGTTGACACCCCAGCTCTAAATAAACCAGGGGTCTGTTTCTTGGAGCAGAGTTTATTGCTGAGCCAATTAACTTTAAGCTTAATTTGGGTGTTTCTATTGCTTTTTTCCCATTGTACCGATCTCGTACTGAACCGTGATGTCCAAACCTCAGTGTGAACCAAATCGTGACTTCTGAATACTATTACACCCCTAAGATTAATCATAGCTCGAGCCTCTAAACCTGGGTTAGCAAAAAAAGTTGCTTTCCGCTGCTTAGTCAGAACAGTGCCTGAGTTGCACATGCTTTGTGAAACAGATCCCTTATGCTTAGTCTTAAGTTATTGTAAAAAACAACAAATAACATGATCAATTGTATTTATAATGTTTTAAAAATCTAGGTGTCCCCAAATGGGCAGATGTGTAGATGCCCTTTAACCGTGTGAATGCGTAAGTGTAACGTGTAAGTGTAGGAGTGGCCTAGCTGTGTGTAGAACATGTGAAGTGCAGTGGAGGAGTGTGTGTGTGTGTGTGTGTGTGTATCTGTATGTTGAGGGTGGTGCCAGACGGCGTGGCTCATCAGAGGGTGCGGAGCGGTGACTGGGCTGAGAGAAGCATCCTCTGGTGGCGAGAGTGAAAACCCGGACACACAAACCTTTGGGTAACTTACACTTGTGCGGAGTGACCAGCAGGTCCAGAGTTTTCTGCGACAGATTTGGCCAAATCGCCATCATCTCCTTCCTCAGCTCTGCGTCCATCTGGTGCTTATCAACACCGCCTACATAGACAGCCATTCACACAACCACATGCACAATAAAGGTTCAAACACATGCAAGTGTACACACACACGTTCCCCCGAGACACGCAAGCAAAAAGCAACAAATTCACAAACACAGAACAACATATAATCACACCCAAAGAAAGAAACACAGTAAAACCATGATTAAATTAGATACAAATAAAGAAGCCCAATGATAGACACACACACACACACACACACACACACACAAATGAAATTCTTATCATTAATGAGCACCAGCATTTTATACAATAAACCAAAGCAACATTGAATTTTAGTACAGTAATAGCTTTTCATAAGTGAATCTGTGCAGCCACATCCATCCCTCAAATGGATCAAAAAAACAAACAAAAACTTTTATTTGTATACTCTGCACATATACATACTAGAGGGTTTCATCAAAGATCACAGCTTTGATGCAGTAGGTCATCCCAGCTGTGATGTTATTCACCATAGCACGCCACCTCTAGGGTTGTATTGCTTTAACCATTCTTAGTTAAAAAATATTTTTTTCAAAAATATGTATATAATATTAGTTCATAACATAATATTTACAATTTTATTGCTCCAAAAACGTAGTTCCAGCAGTTTAGAGCAAGGAGCAACCCTAATTGTTAGTTGGACAATTTAAATGTCATAAAACACGGCTTTAAGATGCACAAAACGAAAACGTATGTCTTCTGTTTTCTGTTGATGTGTATTCAATGTCCTATCCAACGTCTTATATCAGTCCTTCTTGCCTAGCTAGGTCACACTTGCTAAACTGATAAAGCCGTGCTGCAGCTCTCTACACACAAAATATCTTTCCTTGCGAAACATGGGACATGAGCTGTTTAAATACACACAAGCCTAGTACACAATTTTAGTCATTGTTTTACGGTTCAAACTAACAGAAAAAAACACACTTTTAAGCAATTTAGGCTTAGGCTAGGCTTTAGACATGAGAACTGGAGTCCTGGGGGCCTATGGGGAGGGAAAGTACTCCACCTGCTGGTTTTGTTCAAAACAAATTTAATTTGAAAAGAGAATTTTTTGATAATTTATTAAAAATTACTTGAACTGTGAATGACTGTGAATCAGTCATTTCACAACCGCAAAAATACAGCTTTAAGATGCACAAAATAATATAGATAATACACAAGATACAATATAATACAATGCAATATAATAGAATATTTTGTCGAGTCATATAGCAGTAAAGATTCAAATACAACTGAACTACAAAACCTATAACCTGGTACTGGCGCTGCATTGTAGGATATGCAGTAGTAACAAGAAACTGTGTAGTCAAATCAGGGAGAAGCTGTATTTCTGTGTTTTACTGTTAATCATTTGTGACACTAAAGCAGTATCAACCGAACATGGGGGCGATATGGTACATTGTGTTGTACAACCTACAATCACCTCTAATTCATTCTGTTTTAAACACAAAGAGCAGGGGGCAATATGACCACTTTCCTTCCCTATTGCTGACACATGAGCGAGGCACTGACAGGAAGAGAGAAGGAAAGGAGGTATAAAAACTTGAGGCAAACCTTCCCCACCCTTGGCGATCTTTATGTCCAGAGCGGTGCGGATTAAGGCCATGAGGGTGGAGTTAAAGTGCACTGTGTTGTCGTCGGCAACTGGCAGATCCATCCGCAGCAGTCTCTGTGAAGAGCCAACCAGAAAGAGTTAGAGAGAGTAGTGCTGCTTCGACAGCGTACGAGTGTTCTGAACCTCCGGGAGGAGAGTGTATATGTGTGTGAAGGTGACATGTTAAAGAGGAAAAATAAAATAACTGGAGTGGGACAGAGCCAGGGGAAGCTCAATGACTTTCTTAAGAACCAAATCTGTTCCTGGTCATTACTGATACTATGATACTATATACTGAGTGCAGCCTTAGAACATTATTAGTTTTACTGAGCAGGTGTAAAAATGCATCATGACGCATCAGTCTGGATGGATTTAAATTCAACTGCATCCATTTCCAAATGTTACAAATGATTTCTTTAAAAAAACAATGTTATAATTTACTTTGATTATAATAATATTTAATAATGTGGTGAATTCATGATGCATTTTATCATTCCATGAAGATTTATACAATGGTATAACTCATGAGTTCAGAGATTTATATGCCTAATACACTCTAATTAGTGAGCATGTAGTATTTTGTATGTAATCATGTGAAATGTTTTTAAGTTTCTACGTTCATGTCGACTCCAGCAGTAGCTGTTTCCTTTACCAGCTAATGGAGATCAAAATAAACCGAATAAACTTGCTCTGCCCGGTATTTTAGGCTGTACTCTGAGTACTTCCAGTCAAAAGTTTGGATCTTTGGAACATCTCCTCAGAATGTTTATATTATTTTTACAAATGTATTTGTTACCTTTTTTCACATTTTAGACTAACAGCGAAGACATCAAAACACATATGGAATTAAGCAATGACCAAAATGTTTTTTTAAAAAAAAACCAAAACCATCTTCTATCTTAGATTTGACAGTATCTATTTTAGATTATTTCTTCTTCATGCAGCTTTACACCATTTTGGTGTTCTTGCAAGCAGTTTCATGAGCAGCCACCTGGGATGCTTTTCCAACAGGACTGAAGAAGATACATGTGCGCAGAGACCAAATTTCAAGTATATAAGCAGAAGCCTTTAGGTCAAAATATCTTTAAAATTTACAAAAAACATAAATTCATTTGAGAGAATCCAAACTTTTGACTGGTGCTGTATGTCTCCTGAAAAGAGACATTATGATTAATTATATATATATGCCTGTTATATATATGTATATATAATAAATCTGTAAAATACTTTACTAAATATGCTGAATCAATGTATCTATTACACACTTTAACCATTTACTGAACCTATTATAGACTGCTCATGTTTTCAGTAACTTTCAATATTTTTTATGACCTATATCTGTTCTACAATGTGCTCTAATGCACAGATGCCCCATGAGAAGAATTAATCAATGGTACTCAAAACTACTACTAATATAGTACTAACATGAATGTTTTTAAAGGAATATTCCAGTGTTTTTAACATGATCTCTATCTGCTACCTCTGTAGTATACGGTCAGTTACCACAGACAATAATGTTCCCAAAATGTTCCCTGTACTCAAAAAAGTACAGAAAACCTGTTGACTTGAAACTCACTTATAATAGAAGTCAATGTGCAGTTGCTACGTTGCTAGTTAGCTAGACTGAAAATCAATGGATATTCCTTTAATGTCACAGGCCAGTCATCAGCCAAAGAGCTTTCCCTGTAGGAGGTTCACCCAACAAAACCGAGAGCCATGGATGAACCAACAGACCAAAACAGTGAATGACTAGCTGTCAGTGTTTTGACATATGGTCCATCCAGCTTAGGCTCTAACACATCCAAACACCATCATGACGTTAGAGCGAAAGGCCGGTTGGTGTAATGACCAAAGCTCCTGTGGCCTACACCCTCTTGCCATGCAGAGATCAGTGACTCTCAACCCAACCCCCACCAACACACATGCACCTTCCACACACATGCCCCAGCATGCAACATGCAGCATGTCCAACATGCATTTACAGCAAGCAGCAGTGCAGCCGAACACAGAAAGCATTGTCCGTTCGGTTCATTCTAGCTCATTCATTTCGGTTTAGTACTTGTCATTGAGACTCAATCAGATGGGCTTCTGGGTAAAAGAAAAGCTTGATCCAGATTCTCTGGTCTCTCAGTGCATAAAATAAAAAAATGGGTGCAGGCTACTGGGTTAGGTCAGAGCAGCATTCTCCAGAAAAGAAAAGAAGAAAAACAAGAACGAAAAAAAGAAAAGGCTTTGTGAGTCATTTCTGTGAAGAAGGATGAGCTAAGACTGAGGATCCGGTTAGCTTCGGTTAAGCTGGAAGGCTACGGTGTAATGTCTTAGAGGAACGGGAACAAAAGTGACCGCCTATGGAAAAAAGACGAGTGGTGGAAGAGCAGGGCAAAATGTGTGCAGGGCAGAAAGCATTTAAGAGGAGAGGAGAGAACAAGGGAGCAATGTGAAGGGAGAGTCAGGATGATGGGACAGATGCTATGTTGAGACAGATAAAGTGACAGAAGAAGACGTAGGCAAGTAGTGATGAAATCATGAGAAGAACAAAAGAGGCAGAGCAAGAGACGATGTAAAATAAGAAATATCTACCACTGCATTGCTGGTTTCCTTTAAGTGTCCCTGTCTGAGTTTTACTTTCTGAGCAAATGAAAGCGGCAGCGTCATTGTTCTTACAGCCAGGTGAAGGGTTTGGGATGTGGTGAAGATTTAAATAGGTAAAGTTTTAAAGCAGTAATTTTGTGAACAAATTCTAAAATTTCCCCTCAACACAAATGTCGATGAGCCAACACCTGTTTACTTCTTAAATTTCATACTTGCACTACTAGGCTAATATAGCTCTCAAGTACAATAGTGTCGAAAAAAATCAAGCTTCAGGATTGCTGCTACTACTGTTTTTAGTTATGCTATCTTTTTTCATAGATAACAGTATGTCATAAAGTGTAAAAAACACATGTCTAGCAAGTCTGTTTGAGATAACAACTCCACAGAATTTGAGGCAAATTTCTCATTTCTAACAAGTTTCCATTATCTATTAACTACATTAGCCCTGCAGCTCCAATGCAAAACTAAATAAGCAAACTTAAGACACTAAACATATCCTGGCTGACTGACTTTGCTTTGGGTAAAAGAAGAAATTACGTACATTTGATTTTTGGCCAAAATATCATCTTAAGGTTTAATGTGCTCTAATCTGAGTGGAAATCTCAGGTTAGATCATCACAGCTTTGAGGTTATCATACCAATATAGACATCTGAGATAAATGTGGAAGACAGAGGGCTTTTGACCTTTGGTCCATCATAAAAGTGGGAACAGAGTTAGGGATAAAAAAATGGAGCTGTGGATGGGGGGTTCTGTGGCTGAAGAACGTAAAGATCACGTCCTCTTAAAGGAAGAAGACTAGACTGGTAGAAACATCTTGGATCTCATGTGGTTTCTCACATGTGCTGCATGGATTCAGTCTGGCATAGTCTTGCAAGCCAGACTTCTGTTTACCCTTAGATAGAGAGGCTGGTGGGTTTTGTTGCTTAACGTGGCCAACTGTCAAAACGATGCTACAGAGAAAGCGCACCCATAGGAAACAAAGTCCTTTCAATTTAGCAGCTACGTCCTGCTTCAAAGGTTTGCCGTTGTCACTGAGTGCAGAGCAGGCAGTTGTTTGCTTCCCAGTGGACTAAAGGAAAACAGTGCACAGACGTGCATACGCACTGATGCGCGAATAGTCAATGAACATGTAACTGACGAAATTCCATTATCAGATCATCTGTGTACTGTGCAAATATAGGGTGCGGAAAGATATAATAACCCTCACTGAAGCCGATGCTACATCCATATGCACATATTATTCCCTACCGGGGAATGCCAGATTGATTCCATGAAGCAGAACAAGCTGAAAATCTGTGAGATTCAAGAGAAGTGATGAAAATGATGACTATAGGACAGGACCTATGAGGAAGGTGTGAATGACTGAAATGAAAAAAAGAAAATGAGAGAATGAAGGAAAGCTGGAGAAGACTAAGAGAGCCTAATGATGTAGAAGGAGAGCACTTAATCCAAAAGCCATAATTTTGTTACATTTTTCTGTACTATGAAGGAAATTTAGCACGGAGGATTTCTGTTAAGATTCCTCAGACCCTCTATAACTGGAAATCATGTTAGCAATGAAATAACTACAGTATTTAACTAGACTAGTATCTTATTGGCTCCCATGACCGTTCAATCAAACAAGCCCAAGTGCTCAAGTGGCATTAGTGCATTAGCTTTAGCTTAGTCAGGCACAAAAATTTTATATTAAAATGAATAAATTTCAAGTGGCAGTGGGCGTCTACTCAAAGCTATCCTTGAATTACTGAAATTTTTATTCATCCTAAAAGAAGCTAGCAGTGAACTAGTACTAATGTCACCATTTTGTTATGCCTTAAAGAAGGCTTCTATACTTTAACATAGCTTGCTGACAATGTACAATTTAGCATAGTTTGCTCACATCTTACGTTTTAGAATATTTTTTTCAAATTTAATTTACATTTTAGCATAGCTTGCTCACAGCTCATATTATAGCTTAACATGCTCACACTGTATCTTTAGGCAAGCTTTTGAGACAGTTTGCTTACGTTACGTCCTTACGTTATAGTGTGCTATATGTGTGTGCCACCATTCCTTTTATTATTCCAAACTACATGTAATTCACTGCTAATACAATTTACAGGGTAAAAATGTCCTCTTGGTAAGGTATCACATTAAATTATGGAGATTTGGTTGAATTCCCTCTAAGCTGAAAATGGCTGGATTAAAGAGGTCAGAGATGCAGTGTTGACAGTGTGGAAATTTCCTGGATCTATGATGAATCTGCCACAGCTGGTGGACTGAAAGGGGACAGATTAGGGTCCCTGTATGTAATAAGTAATAAAGACAAGACGAGATGCAGTGTGAGAGAATTAGAAAGAAATAGAAAGACAGGAGGTTTGGGACTCCTGTAGTGGTTATAGAGATTGAGGCGTGTTCGTAGGAACTTGCCAGGTTGCATGTGTGTGTGGGGTGAGGAGCAGAGGGTACAGTGGGTAGGATGGCAGTGCCCGGAGTGGCGGGCCATGCAAAAGGGCGAAACAGAATGCAAAGAGGAGGGGCCGGAAACAGATTAGAACTGCATTGACAGAAGGAAAAGTCTGAGTGAAAACATTGAGCTTTGATTCAGGTTGGACTTTTGGTCACAAAACTGGACAATATTCTGGACAAAACTTTTGAAACTGAGACTGCTCCACAAGTTCAAAAAGAATGTGATGCTCTCGCTAAGTTACCTACCTAAGATCTACAGCTGCCCAGTAAAGTGAGAAGAATGCTCTGGTGTGCACATGTTGGTGTATGTGTGTGTAAAAATAAAGGAGAGAGACAGAGAGCTGGTCTACAGTGGAAAAAAGGCCAGAGTTCCTCGGACAGCGCCATCCACAGGGCTGAGGGACGCGGAGGACTTAAGTCCTTTGGGCCTTCCCACCACTGCTGCACACGCACACATGACTGTGTCTGAATGTGTGTGCCTATGTGAGTTTTATGTGGTTTTATGTATGATGCATTGGCATGTCCCATTCTTTTGTCCCCTCCAGTGATGTATAATGTGATATTCAACTCACTATATCAGAAGCAATGATGATGTCTTTATTCCAAATTACATTCAGAATAATTTGCTGGGACTGCATTAAAGCACTGCTATTTGCTTTAATGCATTAAACATAAGGGGCTGGACATAGATTTAAACTACTATTGGGCTGAACTGCAAAAGTAATGGTATTTCACCATTAAATATCCTATGAGTTTAGGCTTTGTAGGTCTTTGAAGCTGTCCAATGAGATACTGTAATGTATAAAGTATGACAACTAATAATGATATATAAGGGTCAAGACTTTTTTAACCACATCTGCCATTTGAAAAGGTTTTCTTAATTGACTGCAGAAGCAGACATTTAATGTGTGCATATATGTGCCTGTAAATCCTCATGCGGTGCAAAAGCGCTGAGAAGGTCCGTCCGTTCCCGCTTCCCTGTGGATCGGCCTGGCTAACACCTAACAACCCCCCCTCCCCACTGAATCACAACAGCAGTTGCCTCACATCAGAGAACGAAGGAGGGCGAAAAGAAAGAGAGAGGGAGGAGAAACAACAACAAAAAAAAGAGGAGGAAGAAAACACCAACAGGTTTACAACACACAGCGCTGGCCGCTCGGAGTTAGACCCTCTACCTTGTAGGCAACCCGTGCAGGGCACTTCTTCCCCAGGCCTAAAGGTGGCGACATTTGCCTGAGCATGTCATACATATCCCTGTAACTGATCCTGCCACTGGGCAACCGAAAAAAAAATTATAAAAAAAATAATAAAATAAAAAAACAAACAGTACGACCACATTGGGTGCATGGGTGGGGGGAGGGAAAGAAAAATTGAAAGGGAAGAGAAGGTTGGGGGAGTGGGAGAGGAGAAAAAAAAAGAAGGTTATTTGGGCCAGTGAAGGACAGAGACAGTCTAGGCTGGTCAAGTGACAAAAGGAGAGAAGAAGAGAAAGAAGGGAGGAAAAAAGGAGTGCTAACTAGCTAATCTCAACGCTAAAACAACATTCTATGCAAACAGGGGAGGGATTGAGGGGCGGAAGGGTTAGGTTGCATAGAAGTGCAGGACGGTACGGTGGACGCTTTGTCAATGCAGTTTCTGTCCCCCTCCCTCCAGAACAATGCACGCTACCATGTCGGCTAGGCCTAGCAAGCAAAACCAACAAAATACATAAATAAAAAAAAGTCAAAGAAGGCAGGTTTCTTTTTTTCATTTAAATTTATGATTTTTTTCCCCTTTATCCATGCTTCTTTTATGAGTGTCTGCATTGTCCTGCACATTCTCTTTGTCATATCAGAATGCAAGTCGAAATGGTGAGTGTACGGAAAAAAAAATGTAGTCAAAAAAGAAAAGGGACTTAAAAAAAGAAAAAGCGACATTCATTCCATTCTGGATGCTTATAGCAGGTGCTATTAGGTGTTTTTAGTGAAAGTCAAACCTTGCAGGCCACCCTATGAGGACATTTCTTTCCTAAGCCCAGAGGGGGGTCGATTACTCGCAATAAACTGTACATATCCTTATAATGAATGCGCCCGCTGCAAGAAGAATACAGGGAAGTTAGAGCACGCAATGCAGAACACAGACAGTCAGAGGAAGAAGAGCACAAGATTACACACAGGAAAAGAACAAGATTAACACACACTAACACACATTTAGTTCGTCTGCTCGTCACCCATTGAAGCTGCTGGTAGTGACTGGCTGGTTAAAGGCCTGAGTCCTGTTCTCTAATTAACACTGTTCACTGTTTCACTTGTATTCACCTTAACATGCTTCTGCTTATGTTTCTCATTAATAGGTTATTGAAACAATCTGAGAAACTGTGTGGATATGCTACAATTTCAATCCATCCCACATGTTTAAGGAGATATTTTATTATGATTTCACTTTGATGAAAAAATCGTTGTGCTTACATGTCTTGTTTTGCAGAAATAAGAACCCTTTAAACTTTCTGACATCAATACCAGAAAAATTTAAAAAGTATAGCCTCGAAGCAAAGCCAATAACGAATATAACCCAAATGTAAATGTATTTCATTACGTAACAACATAATTAATAATGTAATTATGTAATGTACTAGCAAACTAGTATAGTAATCATACCAGACTTAAAAGGGTCAAGACCTATAATCCTGACTAATCCTGACTCATGCTTTCTCTTATTTCTCTACTTCTCCCTCGTCCCTGACTATTTGCCTCTCTTCCACTCTTTCTCTGGGACTCCTACAGCAGGCGGGTGACAGGCACTGGAATGCAGATACCAAGAAACTTAGCGTGTTCCGTGGAGAAAGCTGGGGGAGTTTATGAGGAGGAAATCGGCACAGTAAGTTTTGCTGGCAGTATGCAGTATTCCAGAGACGGGGGATGGGGGTTTTGGGGGAGGTGAAGGGGTTCTCCACTGTTTCACAGGACGAGGGGTAGGGGAGGAGGAGGTGGGGATGAATGGATCGCAGAGAAGATCCATGATCCCCTCTCTCTCCATCAGGGCGCACCGCTGGCCAGGCGGCTGAGTCGGAGTTGCTATGGGGTGGGAGAGTGTCTCCACACCAGTGGCTCAAAAAAGAATGCGTCCATCAGACAGAGAGAAAGATGGGCAGTGTGTTCTGTGTTTTAGGACAGTGGCTCCCCATCCTGGAATACTCACTGTCCTGCACAGAGATAATAATAAAATGTGCAGGCCAGGAGTACTCCAGGAACAGGACTAGGAACCTGTGTTTTACAGCAATGTTTTCAACCCAATACTGACCCAACAGATGATCCACGGTTTCACATTAACCCAGTTCCAAGCCCACCTGAACCATTATAGAGCAACATAAGTTATTTTTTTCATTGCACGTATAATCTTCATTTCATATAAATCTTAAACTTTGAGCTTAGTTTTGTTAAAATTCTATTTCCATTTAAATTCATGTTTTTTGTTTTTTATTTGTACAAATTATTTTCATTTTAATTTGTAATTTCTATTTAGCTGTTTAAATTTATTCCATTTCAAACTAGTTTAAATTCACTTTCAAACTGGTCCCCAGCCCCTTGCACTGCAATAACAGCACAGGATTATATTACAGAAATAGCATTATATTATATTACATTATATTAATGATGGTCTAAATTACTATGGGGGTCCCAGTTCCATTAACAACTAATTTTGCCCACTGAAGTCTATATTTGTGTTTTTGTCATTAAATGTTTTTTATTTGTTCGTCAGTATACTATTAATAAGCAGTAATGATCAAATAACTTTGATAGAAGGAGAATACATAGTGCTGGATAACCACCAATTTTATTCTAGCAAATGACTCCAGCTATCCTAGATGTCTAGTTATTATTTTGACTCTGATATTGCTAACTTAGCAAAGTTATTATTAGTATAGCTAATGTTGGAGCCAGTGTTGGCCAAACTATTTAAAAATGTAGCAAGCTAAGCTACCAGTTACTCTACTTACTGTGCTCAGCTTTATGAAAGCTAATTTGTCTAAAAAAAAGATTCAAGGGTTCTTTAGTAAAGGGAATGGTTCTATTTAGAACCATGAGTGACATGGTTTTTCAGATTGACGGAGAATGTGTTTACGGGTTTCTATAGAACCTTTCTGAAAGTGGTTCTATATAGCACCACAAATGGTGCTTCTATTGTTACAAACTTGATATCGCAACAGTGCCAGAACCCTTTTTGGTACTATATAGGGCCATTTTGTAAAAGGGTCTATAAAAAAACCATATACAACACGTGAAGAACCATTTCAACATGCGAAGAACCATTTAAGCAAACAGTTGGTTCTTTGAGTGTTTATTGTTCTATACAGAACCACTGTCTTTACTAAAGAGCCCTTAAAGAACCTTTTTAAACAGTGTTACCTTACAAGAAGCTAAGCTATTATCTATTAAGCTAAGCTACTAAGCTATTAGCTACACAGCAAAAGAGCGTTCCTAATATGGAAAAGGTCAATTCCAAATAAATCACGCAGAATACTGATTGATTTAGACTGACTAAAATGGGGAAAAGAAAGAGTTAATCAGTGCTATGTTGCTACGTGATGGATAAAAAGCTTCACTACTAAAAAGCTACTTTCACACAGCAGTGCTACTACTTAGAAAACAGTGATGCTACCACCATGCTACCAGGAAATGTAGTTAAACTAATAGCTTTAATACTTGTAGCGACACTACTTTAACCCTGATTTAGTGTTCAGACAAGGTTTACTATGGCCCACCTGCCTATGATTAGCTGGTTCAAGCGTAGAGTGAAAATGTGGGCTGTCTAATGGGCAGCAAGAACTGGGTTGAGAAAACACTGTTGTGGAGGACACTGTGCGTGTAAAATGTGTTTGTGTGTGTGTAAATGGGCAAATGAGCAGGGAGATTAGAGTCGTGAGATGTGTGCTCCTTCCAGCTGCAAAACTGTTCAGTTAATACATTATTGTAACCGTTGGAAAAAAAAGGAAAGCGACTGAACCAAACGCTTTGTCATATTCAGCATTTTTAAACAGTGTATTATAAAAAGACTGCATGTTCTGCCAGGGGTTCCATTTCAATGATTGCCTTCAATGAATGAAGTACTGTATTGAAAAATCAATGTTAATTTGGGAATTATTCAAACTTTGACACAAATGGATTATTTTGGGTAGGTACAATGTAAAAAGATGTGTTGTTCTAACTTTAAAAGTAAGTAACATGTCTGCCTTAAAGTTTGAGTTGACTAAATCTCTAGTAGTAACTTAAGAGAACAATAATCTGTTATATATTGTGTTAACTTACTATTTAAAGGCCAGTAAAATAAGTTTAAGGCAGCCTGATTAACTTATTTAAGTAAAAACAACAAATCTTTTTTACTGTGTATAGTATAAGTATTACATGACTGTGTACATGTGTAAAAATGAAAGTGTTATTAGTGTGGATACACTGACTTTAAATATGTGTGAGGGTGTTAACATGACTGTGTGTGTGTGTGTGTCTATGTGTGTGTGAGTGAGTGTGTGGTTCCACAAAGACTCACCAGGCTGCAGGGTCGTACTCCGCCCAAATCCTCACATATTCATCCAGGTGATGAGGACCCAGAATGGAGGAGTCCCGCGTGAGGTACTCAAAATTGTCCATGATGACGGCCACGAATAGATTCAACATCTACACACACACACACACACACACACACAAGGGAGAAAAAGTGTTTTCTTTCTTCTATGTTCAACTACGCAAATAAACAGAAATTTGCATTAAAATAGCATAAAAATGCCATATGTGAGTTTGTTCCCTGTAGAGAATGTGTTAACATTTTTACTTAGAAAATCAACAAAAATGTAAATTGACTGAGGATGTTCAGATCTTTTTATGCGACTGTACAATCAATGGTTCGAAATCCTCAGTGACCGTAGCTTCTCGCTCTAATACAGCTTGTGTTGAGGGGAACTGTAGTTATCCATTTTGCTAATGCTTTTGTTAGTTTGCTGCTCAGTGATTTGTATAGTTTTCTAATGAGCACTGTCCAGCGTAGTCTGTAGAATTACTGATATTGCTGATATCACAAGTGTGCTTTGCATTAAAGAGAACCATCAATGGAACATTCCATTTAAAAGCTGGACTTGAGGGCTACAGTTGCAGAGTCATAGCAACAAACAGTACTCCAGCAGCTTGGCTTTAAGTTGGAACTATGTATGGTTTGAAAAGTCAAAGTAACAAAATATGTTAACAGTGTTAAAAAAGAATTAGTGGTACCACTAATTTTTTATCAATTATTTGTGAATTGTAGCTAAACTGTAGAGAAACAAGGGGCGAAATTGTGTGGAAAGTGAAGATTCTAAACTTTCAATCCATACCACATTAATGTTTTTAAGTAGAAGAGGAGATATTATATGTAAAAACAAAAATAAAAAAACTTGTCAATATACTGCTAAAAAAATCAAACCTGATTCAAATGAAACCAGTATTTTAGAGTGCCCCAATTGTGAAATTACACTGAAATGGTATGGCAGAATGAAAATAACAGTAAAGGTTAAAAATCTCCACACAAGCTTTCAAAAGCTGTTAAGACTCCTGTAATTGATTCTGCCCTGTCACATAGTGTCATACTGCGGTTGAATGGAACGAGGCTTTAGAGAAACGAAAAAGAGAAGGCAAAGAATGGGAAAAATAAGGACGATGAGCTGGAGAAAAAAGTGGAATTCTTACCAGGAATGAGCACAAGAAGATGAAGGAGACAAAATAAAGGTACGCAAACTCGCTGCCACACTCCGACTCCGTATTCCCCGACAGGGGATCACAGTCCTTGTTCCCCAAACACGACAGCATGATTTCATGCCATGCCTCTCCTGTCGCACTCCTATACACACAGACACACAGATGGAAGAATTACGCTGCTTCTATATTGCTACACACTGCACTGGAAAAATGTTTTATTTTTATTTACATGATTCAAATGTGTCAGTTAGTTCCACATGAATCTAATACATTTTCCTGCATTATTTTGACCAAAATGATTTACAATACTGTGCAAAAGTCAGAGACCACCAATCTTTTATTTAATTTCCAGCTAAAACAGACATTAAGCTTCTTCTTTGTGTGATCAGCAAATACTTTTTTTGGTCCATTTCCTTTCTTAGTAAGGGCTTCTTGACAGCTATGCATCGGGCCCTGAGTTCTTCTTATAGTAGAAGCATGGACAGAAAAAGCTGTGGACTTTTTCAGATCAGAAGCAAGATTGGAGCCTGATTTTCTCCTCTCTCTCAAAGATGAAAGGTTTAAGAGCTGTTTATCTGATGGGGACAGTTTTGGTGGTCTGCCAGGTCTTGCAGGTGGTTGGATATTAAGAGTCCCATTTTCTCTGTAGCTCCTGCAAGTGGATCATCCCTATATCTAAACTCCTCAGAAATATCTCCTGAAAAACGAATAACTTACTTAAGGGCTGTTTTGATAGGAAATTAAATAAGCAAAGGAAGGTCTTCGACTTTTGCACTGTGCTGTATGTTTGTTGGATCATTTTACTGCCTCAAACTGGCACAGAAATCTGTGATTGATCAGCACACAGTGCAACATTTGCATATTGCAGACTTTTGTCTCAACAGTATTCAAAAAGCTGATATCGCAGTTACAACCAATAAAAGATAATACTGTGCAGTCCTGCTACACAATCGACCGAAGCCCAGGCCACACACCTGAAAAGCAGCATAAGAGCCTGGAAGAAGGTCCTGAAGTTGTTGTGTTGGTTGATGGCACTGTCTCCATCCTCCTCCTCAATCTTTATGTTCCCAAACAGCTGCAAGACACATAATTCCATCTCAATCTCATTGAAATTGCAAGTTTACTGTACTGTCATTGCAATTCCCACAATCCTCTCTTTGTCCTAGCCTCCAGCAAGAGGAGTAACACCGCTGTCAAACCACACTGTTGCTTCGCTTTTTTTCTTGTCTGCGTGGAGCAAAAATCTGGTGATTATTATGGGCTTTCCTGATGTAATATGATTTTGGAGGGAACATATAGTTCAGCAAACAGCGTTAGCTAGCTACGTCATTTGTTTTTTTTTTTTTGTTTACAACTGTGAGCGACAAGTGACATTGTGCTGACTGAGAAGCAGTCATGATATTAGCACACTTAAGCCATGATATTATTCTATCACAAATTTGCTCAAATGCTCTGACTGATTCCTGCCCAGGCAGGGAATCGAACCTTAGTCTTATGTATACAAGATGACACTGTTATCAACTGTGCTACCAACCCGTTTCTAACAACAACATCACTGGCAGAAGCTTTGTTCTCATAAGAAAGAAAAAGAAGACTTGATTTTGGCATCTTATTATTAATTAATTAATAAGAATTTGTTTATCAATAATATTTTTACATTTCATATTTTTTGCTCCTACGCCTAGTCATAGATGTGCAGATGAACAAGGCAGGCGAAACCTCACCTGCATCCCGATGATGGCATAGATGAAGAACAGCATAGCAATGAGTAGGCACACGTATGGCAAAGCCTGCACAAAAAGAACAGAGAAAATAATCAGTCAAATCCCAGTGCGAGTGTTACTGAAGAATGTTTGAGAAAGTTCTACCAAGAACTGTAAAATTTTATGTTGTAACAAAACCTCCTAAACAGTACACTGACAAAAAAAGAAAAAAAAATGTTCGTAACTTTAATGTGATGACATTTTACTCCAGGTAACTATGAACCATTTCTACTGGCCCATTCATCATGAAATAACTATGAACCATTTTTATTGGCCCATTCATCATGAAATGTTCACATAATACACGCTGAATGGGCTATCAGAAAACAACTGTCAATTTCAGTAAATACTGTAAATTGTTAAATAGTTGTTTGGAGTTACAAGTCTTTTATACAACAGTTGATTTGTCTTTGTTATGGGACAGTATTTCAATGTTTTTACTACAATGAGCTTGTAGTTTTATAGACTACAGTATAAAAGAATCTCTCTAGAATTTGCTCTAATAATTTGTATGATTTGTTTAAAATGCTTGGCTACACTCAACAGAGTCAACTTTACTTAATCTCATCTGTGCTATTAACAGATTTTTGCAAATGCAGACCACGCCTTGTGTTGAGGGAGATGATGAGAGTAGGGGGAGTCCGAGGAACTTTGGGCTGGAGTTGTATGGCTTCTGCAGGTCACTAAAAGGCCGTGAAGGACTGCTATTATATGCCATAACTCCATTATATGCTCCCCAAAGCAGGCTGTATAGCATAATGTTGTCTACGTGTGTGTGTTGTAAGAATGTTTGCTTGGCTAAAAACATAATTCAGTGAACCAGTCGAAAGCTTTTGCCGGATTTATTCAGAGAACTCCTTTAGTGTGCTTGTTTTACCTTAAAAGATTGGACGAAGGTCCAGAGCAGGATGCGAATGGTCTCACCCTGTCTGAGCAGCTTAATCAGACGGGCAGCTCTGAACAGTCTCAGAAAACTCAGATTGATGAAGTTATTCTAGAGAGAGCGAGAGAGAGAAGATAGATAGATAGATAGATAGACAGATAGATAGATAGATAGATAGACAGACGTCAGCTGAGAGATCAGTTGCTGATGGAACATTAATTCTTTTTGTGTATTAGTAGGCAAAACAAAGAGGGGTGTTACAAACCAGGAAAGGGAAAGAGATGTTAGAAAATAAAACTCAAACTGGCAAGACTGAGCAGGCCCGGCATATCCGAGGGAAGGAGAAAAGCAGGGGGGGAAAGAAGAGGGTGGGTGGAGGGGTGGTGAACTCATACAGAAAAGGCAGAACCTAAACATCCTCATCCATATGGGAGGAAAGTGCAGGACCCCTAACCTGGTGTCAAATAACCAAATGCACTGATGGCCCACAGCATGCTAAACCCACACACCAACCACAGCTAACGGCTAACGGCCACTCACACTGCATCCCAGCAAAGGTCAAAGGGCAAAAGTTCTGGGCTTAAGGATCCCTAACTCAAATATAAAATGTACATGTTTACCACATCTGCTTCTACAACACTGATTTGCACCATATTTCTACAGCTGGCAACATTGTCAATGCACAGGCAATGGACCTGTTATCATGTCCACATCTGAAATTTCACATTTGCTTTGGTCCTTATATTCTATGGACTTTCTTGAGCACAACTCTGAAGACATTTTTCAAATCAATCCCCCCATACAGGTAAGAGGTTTATATCTCTTAATTTATCATTATATTCAGTTGTTCAGTCACCATGGCACTACTGATTTTTCAAAAATATGACTGTTAATATGTTTCATCTCCAATATATTGTTCTCTTTCTTTCTGAATAGAAACAGGAGGGGGCACTCTGACCACTTTCCTTGTTGTCTGTAAAACCTACTAGTTTGTCTAACGTTGTATTGTACATTGGTTGTACATTATTTGCCAGGCTTTTTCAGGACTATCAGCTATTGGTTAGGCTACTGCAACATGAACGCTTTGATCTTTTTTTTTCATAGTTAACATTAAAGCTCCAGACTGGATGCTCTCAGGGACACTGTAATGGGGTGTGTTGGCTTGTCATGGCAAATCCAAAGAAGAGTGGGTTATATAAATTATTTTTATTTAAAATATTAACTTTTTTCTTTTTTAATGATATTGCAGATCACTGGTCTAGAAGCAGGTTATGGTTAGAATGACAAAAGGAAGAAGTGGCCTCTTAGTAAGCTTACCACACATAGCACTACACTTACTGAATATACGGTCATTAAAGATAACATTAAGGCCACAATAAAGACATCTGTCGCTACAGCATATGTATTAATTATGTCCTTAAACCCAGTACCTGGATGGGGAATGGGACGGGGATAGGGGCTGGAATCAGGAGTATGCAGTGTGTGCATGCAAATCTTCTCCATCAATAGCACTGTGCAATGTTCCCATAAAGGAGGACAGCTCCGCCTCCATCTGTGCCACAGACCAATCAGTGACCCTTTAGTGCCGTATAATCGGAGTGTTTTTAAGAAACACTTATTCAGAGGAATGTTTCACAAAGCAGATTTTCTCAGTTAACCAAATAACTTAAGCTTAACTTAAGCTTTTATTAAATAAAATAGTCTAAACTTGTATGTAAACTATATGTGGCAACATTTTAAAACATAAAATTCAGGGTATTTTTATGTCACAAAACCCAATGCATTTACAAATATATGAGCCTGCAACAGTTTAGCCCTGCCCATTCATGCCAAGGCCATAAGAATTGTTTTAGCTCCGCCTGCTTTTTGAAAGAGGTATGATATAGTGCAGACAATCAGAACACAGGTGATTCACAGTCTTAAAGACATAGTAACAAAAACAACCTAGTTTGTTCTAAGAGAAAATGAGAGGTTGGAAAATTATGTAAAAATTAATTATGACTGCTTTTGTATCCCAAACGTCTTAAGCAGACCTTAAATGAAAGAAAAGAAAGACGTAGCCTATGGGTCCTTAAGTTATCCAGCTTGTTGAAAATCTTGCTTTGTGAAATAGCCCCGTTCTGTTATTCTAGACTATGCTTGATTTTAAAGGCAAAAAGAAAGACATAGAGAGCATGCAGACATCCTGAACTACAGCTACAGCTCCTGTCCCTATGTTTCAGACTTTAGCAAGGTTTACTGCTGAGAGTATGCCAGCTAAAATTCTGTATGCGTGTGTGCAAAAAACATCAGCCCAGTTATATCTGGACTGGGTGCGTATACAGTGTGGGAGTGAAACCCTTGAAGTGTCACATAGAGCAGGGGTCAATGTCATTTTGTATTCAAGCACATGCATCATCATCACCATCATCATCATCAGCCACAGAGGAAAACAGATGCATTAAGATTTCCAAAAAAATTACAAACCATCTACATGGAGATGTTGCAGATGCATGGTTTATAGCAGCATTTTTGGAGGTTGATAATAACAACCAGTGTGATCGGCCAGGCCAGGTCACAGATGGACACATGAGTTTCATAGTGCATTTTGATTGGATGAATTCATCAGAGGGCGTAGCCGCCAATATAGCAGCGATTAAAGAAAGCATGTTAAAAAAAAAGGACAGAAAAAAAGGATAAAACAAGAAATGAATAATCATTATGCAGACATTTTAGTCCAAAAACATCTGTCAATTAAAAGCCATATTCAAATCATTGTAACATAAGCTTAGCATACAGTAGTGACAATTAACAAAACATGAAACAATACTGAAAATCAGAATGAAAGCCATATGAAACAATACTGAAAAAGATAAAAGCTAAATGCTTTGAAATGTTTGCTTGTGATTTTCTTGTCTATTCAAAATCAAAAACAGAAGTGTGCAACATTTCTGTATCTCTTAGCCTGAGATAGCAAGCATTTTTTACAAGCAAGTAACAGTCAAAATGATGTACAATGACCAGCCACCAGGTGCTGCTGATTTACTGAAGGACAGCGTCTCTCAAGACATACACACACAGGCACACACACACCTTCTTTTAGAACCACGTTGTCTTCACTGATCTTGCTAAATTTGAGGCTGACGTTCAGAGAGTGATAGAGATTCAAAAAAGGTGAATTGGTTGATCTTGACAGGGGCATTTCAACAATAGGTCTGTAAAAAAACTAATTTACACAGTTTTTCCCCTTACCTCAAATGCAGTTGATCAACCAAGACATGTTTCATGTAGGAAGTTTGCTTATAAAGTTTTCCACTTGAGCTACAAGGCTAATGTAACAAGCAGTGGGAAACCAATTAGCATTCTGCATTAATTAATTACACACTTGCCTCAAACTGCATCAGGTTGTTAAAGTCCCACACAATATTAAATGGTAAAAAAATTGTATGCTAATACTGAGTGTTATATTAGACATCCAGCCAACAAAGCCAGACGTTATGAATGACAACCATAATAGTGATATGAAGAAAGAACCACTGTTTAAATACCAGCTAAATTCACTGATCAGATATATATGATGACTATCTGGGCGTGGCCAAATATCCTAATGAGCATGCTTGATTGATATCCCTCATCCTACTTTGCCACTCAAGCAAAACTCAATACAACAGTGAAGGAGGTTGAAATGAGTCCATACACATGTAGGTGGTGGTGTACACCCCACTGTGTCTGCTTGCTAAAACACAGATTTCTAATGCATTGATAAGGTTCGTATTCACTTTACTGCTGGATGTACATCCAGGAAATGCATCCATGGAATCCTGGCATGGCTGGTTGGACAAACGAAAGAACAAACAACAGACAGGAAGACAGACACACAGATGAACTAGCTTGCTTGCTTGGTTATGCTTGCAAGGTTAGCTTTCGCTTATTAATTTGTTGAGACTGGAAAAGAGTGAGGTTGTGGGGGAATGCTTAGTTTTCTTAAAGTTGTGTGGGCAGGAAAAGCTACATCAGCCTTGAGTGTAAAGCTTACACTGGGACCACCTTGTTTACTCTAAAAGGAGAGAAATACTGGATCAATACATTGGTCCTTTATTAGATATTGAAACATTATTCACAGGACGTAATTTGTGCATGTATATTATGTGCCCACAAGAAAAAGATTAACCTACTTAGCAAGAAATTGTGAATGTAGGTTCCCTGGGACTGTAATTTCTAATATACGTACTTATATGTTTTCTGTATGTCATATTGTCATCTATAAAAATTGACAGAATTTTAAAATGACCTAACAACCCGACACGTTTTGAAACAAGTGTGTGTTGATTTAGATGTGAAGTTTGCACAATGCTAATTGGTAGCTAGTGCAAAATTAAAAAAGCAAAATACAGACACCAAACATGTCTTGGCTGACTGACTACATTTGCTGTAAGAGGGAAAACTGTGTACATTTGACCTTTTGCTGAAGTATCGCTTTAATTAAGGGATGGTAAAACGCTAGACGTCTGATTTCAGTAGGGGATTACTGTGATGTAAGTGAAAGCTGGGTGAGCTCCAGACGTCCCAATGCTGTCTCACTGATCTGCTCCACACACCAACTGGGACAATTATATAAAACCTTCAGAAGAGCCTTCCGCTTCAGTGGGAAGGGAACGATCCTGTGGAGTTCCTGTCTGTATCTCTGACACACACCCACACACATGCGCACACACATACTAACACTCTCTCAGTAGCCCCTCTACAGAAAACACTTACCCCTAGCTCCGTGACTAAAATATCAGTGATGCTGCCAAGCACAGTCACACAGTCGAAGATGTTCCAGGCATCTTTGAAGTAGTTCTGTGGGTAAAATGAGAGAAGCATGCCTGTTATTTGGGCTACAGTGATCTTATGAGAGTTAGACACAGACACATATACACACACACACACACACACACACACACACACGCATTTGTTTTACACCTTGTTATGATGTATATTCAAATCAAATTCCAATATATTCCACATGTATTACATATATGTAAGTATCTATATGAAATGATGTTCCATATATATTACCTATATGCAAGTTTATATGTGGAAGAATATTATGCCTCATTTGTTTACACACACACACACACAAAACAAACCAACCAAAACAAACAAACAAACACACAGCCTCATTCTTCTCTCTTCTCTCTTGTTCTCTTTATCCTTCTGACTTTTCTACTTCTACTCTCTCTCTCAGTACGGCTGGGTGCCTAAGGGTTTGGTGACACACATGCTGAGAGTGCAGGACATGTCTGTGCTGCCCTGTGAATGCCTGCAGTAAAAGAGTGCATTAAGACCACTCCAACTAGCAGATGCAGTAAAACTGTGGCATCCAGGCACTGAACTTTAGTGCTTCAGCCAAACCTCACATGCCTACCCCCCTGCGTGAGTGCGTCTATGCACTCTACCCCTTCCTTAATTCTTTAATACATCACCATTCACGTTTTCTCCCTCTTTTTTCTTTCTCTCTATCACCATCTGAATTTGTCCTCTATCCATCACTATTCTTTCTTTCTCCATCTTCCTTTCCAGGCTGGCCTTTGCTGAACAACATCATTTACTTTCTCCTTCTTCCTTTTCCTAATTGCTCATTCCCATCTGACACCAAACACCAGAGGATTTCCAGAATATTTTCAAATGACATATGTTAACCCTGACAAACAGTTAGTTCCCAATTTTCTATTCTGTGTTTCATTTCATTCTGTTTTGCTGGTTCAGCTCCTGAACTGCTTTACTGTTGCTCACAACGCTCAACTCTCACATCTGTAGCTTTTTTTTTTAGACCAAAAGGTTCCAAAAAATACAGTCTAACAAACTTCATTTCCTATGCTGATAAATGCTGGATGTACTAAAATGTTATTCTTCTTCCACTGAAGTTGTTTTTTTACTGCAGTCATAATTTCACTGCAGCAACAGTACTTTTACTGGAAGGTGGCTAGAAATCACACACAATCTACAAAAATCTTCAATTCCAAAAGAACTGAGACAATAATTTAATAAATAAATAAGTGATTTGTAAATTCACCTTGACCTGTAGTTAAAAGAAAACAGTACATAGACAATATTTTTAATCTTTTACCTTGTTGACTCTGTTGGTGTTTGTAAATATGCACTCATTCTATAATTGGTGCCTGTGACAAATTCCAAAACAGTTGAGGCCAGGACAATTTAAGACAAGGAATGTTCAGAAATGTTCAAAAATCTTAAACAGATGGTACAATCATGCTTGGGTATAAAAGGAGCATCCAGGAAAGGCCTAGTCCTTTATGGCTGGGTTGAGGCTCGCTACTTTGTTAAAAAATGCATCAGTGAATAACGGAAAAGTTAAAAAGCAACGTTCCTCAAAGAATGACTGCAAGAATTTTAGGTATTTCACCCTCTACAGTGCATAAAAGATTTAGGGATTCCAGAGAAATCTCTGAGTGTAAAGGGTAAGGTAAAATAAAACACAAAATGTCTGTGACCTTCAACCCCTTTAGCTGGCACTGCATTAAAAACCGGCATGCTGCTGCATGGGCTTGAGAATACATTGACAAATAGTTGTCAATAAACACTGTCCATTGCAGTGAAATTGTTTGTTTACTATGCACAGGGGAAGCCACAAGTCAGAAACGCTGCTGACTTCCCCAGGAAGAAATAAACTGATGCAAAGTGGAAGCATGTATTGTGGTCTCATCAAACCTTCAGACTGTTTATGGAAAAATGTACATTGTGTTCTCTGGACCAAAGAAGAAAAGGACCATCCAGAATGTCACCAGTGTAAAGTTTAAAAGCTAGTGTCTGTTATGGTAAGGCAGTGTTTTCGTGCCCATGGCATGAGCAACATGCACATCTGTGAAGACATCTTAACCCTGAAAGATATATACACATTTTGGAGCAACACATGGCGCCTTCTAAACCAGTGGTTCTTAAACCTGACAGACCCCAAGATGGTCCTGATTCACTTGTGCCACATGGATAGTGCAAAAAGGTGCGTCGTGTAAGGATCCATGAGCACTGATTTGAAAACCACTGTTCTAAACAACGTCTTCCCCAGGGATGTCCATGTTTGTTTCAACATGACAGTTAAAAGCCACATTCTGCACGTGTCAAAAGAACAAAACACTTCAACAAAGGCCCTGTACAGTTGTGCAGCTGAAGACTTAAATAAAGGACGCATGGCAAAAAAATACACTTTTAAAGCTGGATCAATTGGTGTCTTAAGTCCCCAAAAGGTTATTTATGAAAGGTGATATACCACAGTGGTAAACATGTTTTCGCACCAACGTTTCTGGAATGTGCTGCAGACATCAAATTTAGAATGAGCATATATTTCCCCCCCAAAAATAAATAAATAAATAAAAATCACATATTACATATCACACACACATTTTGTACTGTTTTTATTTAATACAAGAAAAACAGAATTTACTATTTGCTGCTTTCTGTCTTCCAAACTCATATACTGACTCAACTTTTCTGAAATTTTGCCCGTTCCCCATAGTGAATGGGAATGTTTGCCTATTCACAAATATATCACATGATGATACAAACACACACATACAAAGACTCTCTCTCACACACACACACACACACACAAAGAGACAGACTCCAGGCATGGTCACTCACCAGTGCTCCAAAGGCAATGATCTTCAATACACACTCCAGGGAGAATAGCGAGGTGAAAACAATGTTCAGGTTGGCTAGCATTTTCTCATAGGTATCTGAAGCTTCATAATACTGAAAACACACACACACCCATGCTTATCATACCAGATCTGCAGACAGCAGCATGTCAGCCTGTATGAGACATCATAGTCACTGTGGCTTCCAGTGATCTATTATTACAGAGTGTAAGGTTTTGGTTCCTAAAGGTCTCAACTAAGCATGTATGGTTTAGACAACATTGTTGACTTCACAGAATGAATGCATTGTAACAATGCACAGTAGTGCATGCTTTTTCAAAGAAAACTTTTTATTGGCTTCTTAAAGAACCAGTTTAGAAGTTTTATGATCATTTTCCATGATTTTAACAGTGAGTTAATTCTGAAATTCTGTCAGTTTCACAATAATTTGCTTTTGTGGTTATACCACTTTTAAATGCTATTTTCACTGCTGACACTTGCTGTTTCTAGTAGAAGATGAAGACAAAAAACAGCACAGTGAAGAAAGAAAGTAACAAATTACTAAAATAACAACATACAACAAGTACATCACTAACGAAGGGAACTTCTCTAAAACTATGAAACACTCAACTGTGATCCATAAATTATCCAGATTTAGAAACTAAGATTTTACAATTGACTGACTTTCCAGGTTTTCCAGGATTAGGGTTAGCGAAACCTTTAAACTACCCTGCTGTCGAGTAAGAGACAGAGAGGAATTAGCACTGTCTTATCGTGCTAAAAACTTTAAATGAATTGACTGTGTCCATGCTGGCCCACCTTCATCATGAGCACGATGGTGTTGAGGGCGATCATGGCCATGATAGTGTACTCGAATGGCGGAGACACCACAAACTCCCACATCCGGTACTGGAACGTCTGCTTATTCTGAGGCATGTGGCGGGTCAGAGGCCTGGCGTTGATGGCAAAGTCTATGCAGGCTCTCTGCAAACACAAGATATGCTTTATATTCAAAACAGGTGCTGTGTACATTTTATGACAATTGCACCAACAGAAATTAGGAAACAACATTTTTAAGATAAAAAATCTGATTTTTCCCCTTTACCTAGAGTTATCGTTGCTGAGATATGATGTTCACTTACAACAGTGAGAGCATATTTACAGTTTGACAGAACTGCAATCTTGGATTTAAACACCCTGAATAAAATCCAATGTTTTTTTTTCCAAGTGTTTATATAACCCTCTCTCTGTCACCTCATTCTTTTCCAGACTGTAGTCCTCCATCATCTTGTCTCCTTGCTCCTGGAAGGTTATGATGATGAGAGCCACGAAGATGTTGACGAAGAAGAAGGGGAAGACCACGAAGTACACCACGTAAAAGATGGACATTTCCATCCGGTAGCCCGGGCTAGGGCCCTGATTCTCGTAAGTCGCATCGACTGAATGTTTCAGTACCCTGAAGAAAAACAGACAAACATACAGACAAAATTCAAGCTTCAAGACAGCTGCTACTGTTTGGCTCTGCAACAGTTTTTGCCCATTTTTATAGAAAACATTACATCATACAGTGTCAGAAACCACAAAAGCAAGTCTATTTAATATTACTTAACAACTTAATGTGGTCTGAGGCAAGGGTGTGGTGATTTAGGCATGCAGGCTACGTGATGCTATTTGGTGAGAATAAGTTGCCATTACTTGTTAGTCTCATTAGCCTCAAAACCTCAGCACCAAACATGTCTTGGTTGATTGAATACATTAAGGGTAAATACTCACTGCGGCCACCCCTCTCCGGTGGATACAGTGAAGAGGGTGAGCAGGGCCCAGAGCACGTTGTCGTAGTGGAAATCGTACTTCTTCCACTCCCGCTTCTGCGCCTTCACTTCGTTATCCCGCTCATACACCAGATATTCACCCCTAAACAAAAAACACAATTAGCCTCAATCCACAATATCTCCAACACCTCACTAGTGCTTGACTCAGCACTGAATGTATATGGTAGGGGTGTAATGATTTTTTCATTTTTGATACAATTATCGATCCTGAGGTCAAGGCCAATGTATTAAACCATCTTGTGTATGTGTGTGTGTGTGTATCATTCAGCTCAGTTCTCTAATACAAATTTTTTAAAGAATGCTGCTCCACCCTCTAACAAAACAGACCTCAAAAATCACAACCCCTAGAATTTATAACCCCTTCAGAAAAAAAATCCTGTCATTTGAGTATGTGTCCATAGCATAAGCCTTACCCTCTTTCAATTCTGGTAGGACAGATACCTAGTTTGGATCACTGACAGGGGTTAAAGACAGTAAATGAGAGAGTTGGAAGAGAGTGACGGGTATCGGTCATTCTCTTATTTTTTTGAATACTGTATTCAAATCAGGGCTGCATTAATAATTACTTCTGTAATCAGTTATTCTGTCAACTACATTTTTTTTGATTAATCACACACACACATTTTCTGAAACCGCTTATCCTTCTGGGTCACAGGGTTTGATTTAACAACTAATGTAATAATTATGTTTCTGTTTCAGTTAGAAATAAATTAAAATAATGGTGCCTGCACCTGGGACCATCGAAATATTAGATTGCTTTTGTTTACACTAGCGTTATATTTATTACTGTTAAAATTGTTGCTGAATCAAACATTTGATTGAATACAAAAAATTATAGTTAAAAAGAAAGGTTCTATTCATTAGTTAACAAATAAATTGATTTATTATTTAATTAATTTTATTTATTTTTATCACCTTCCCTATTTTCTCAATTTTAGCACCCATTTAACAATTTTTTTATTTCCCACTTTATACTTTACGTCTTCAATGCCTGCATGTCTGTGATTTTGTGACTGTATGTTTTACTTATTTTAAGTGTTAACTTGTGCAACGTCATCATCCTGAAAGCATTCGAAAACAGATTTATCATCGTCTTGAACACTATTTTTAACTTATCCAGGATGCCTGGGCAGCGTTAGTCTGGAGTCTTATCATTTACTTATTACATCTCACGATGGCATTAAGTTAACAAACATTAGCCACTTATTCTAGTTAAAGCTTTTATGCAACTCTGTCAGACCTAAACTGCATATGAACAATCTAAGGCATAACATATCTAAATATCTACAGTACAACTAAAGTAAAATAAAAAAAAACATAGTGACAAATTTTTATAATCAATGTAGTCGATGTGTGCATGTGTGCACCTGCAGTCACGTTCAAACTCCTTCGACTCGTCTGTGCAGTAAAAGAATTTGCCCTTGAAGAGCTGCACTGCCACCACAGCGAAAATGAACATGAAGAGCATGTAGACGATGAGAATGTTCAGCACGTTCTTCAGTGAGTTCACCACACAATCAAAGACAGCCTGAGGACAGAGGAAAGCAGTGAAACACGAGAGTCAGGTACACATACGTGAGAAAACATAGCACAAAATGTGGTCACAATGAGCTCACAGTGTATCTGAAATTAACATTCAATTTACTAATTAATAAAACTCTAACATAAATATCTAATTAGCAGAATTTCCAATCTTTCCACCCGTTTTTCACCTTCCTTCCAAAAAACAGACAAAATTAACATAGGGCTGTAAACTTGCGATTGCACTGGTGTTAGAAGGCTAAAAAATGTAGTAGTACAACTACAGCAAATTTAGCACTACACAGAGAAATTTATCTGAAAACATGTGTAATTGTACAAAAATGGCCAAGGGTAGGCTTCCATGTCAGGTGAGTAATGGAGCCGGCCTCTTCACAGCTAATGAGCTAACACTAACACTAAAGCTAAGATATCATCGCAGTTGCAAAAACTCTTATAAAATTGCATCATTTGAAAACACCAGTTACCCTTTGCATTGTGTTAACATTTCATGATCTACAGACCAATAGAAATGGTCTAAAAATACTAGGGGAAAAATCTTGTTACTTTGACTTCCATTGCAAGTTAAGAACGCCTTTTTCCTTCTCCTGTAAAGTTACCATTTTGGATACACAAGATTTTGTTCAGACAGCAACAAAGTATTACGCTGATGAGGACTCATCATCTTCTACCAGAGTTTATTTACACACATTTCACACACTGAGAGCCAATCGTGTCCTAGTTAATCTGATAACAGGGAAAAATACTTAATTTGATTATACTGATGAAAAATACAGTCATTTCCATCCCAACAGAGGGACTTCAGAAAGAAGTTACAGCACATCAGTAGTAGCAAAGTACAGAAAAAACCGGTCACATTTTACAGTCCTGCTAAAACGTACAATCAGCATTTCACTGAATTGTTGGCCTGTAACGAATAACCGCATAGTGATTTAATTGGATTTAACTGAATACTGGCACCTGACCTGAAGTCAAAAAGGTGCTCTGTACCTTGAGCTTGGGCAGGCGTTTGATGGTCTTGAGGGGCCGTAGCACTCTCAGTACACGCAGAGACTTTATAGTACTGATGTCTTTCCCCTTACTGCTTCCACTGCAGGACAGCCACAACAGACAAACACACACATGAACAAAAACACAGTTAAAGAAAGGCACTGGAAAACATGGCAGGTGCCAGATTCCAACATGGGTGACTAATGAGGCTGTATGCACCCATGGCTGGCAAAGGCAGGCACTAACTTAGTGTGTTAGTAGCTCATACCAGTCAGTAAACATGCCTGCTATACATTCATCCGGAGTTCAGTTACAGCAGAAGGCACTGCAGCTGACGATGAGAATGTAGCCTGCTACAGTTAGCCTAGCAAGCCCATCTCGGAGTGCACGCGCACACATACTCGCTGAAAAAAGTGATGGGCTGAATTTACTTGAATTGAATGTGTACATTAGAATAAAATACACAGCATCAGCACAATTCTCAGTTTTCTTGCTTTCAGCAATAATTGTGTAGATGTTATATATGTTTATTCATGCATACATTTGAATCAAGTAAATTCAGCTCAGCATTTTTTACACTCACAGTCGCTCAGTCTTTTAACACACACACACACACACACACACACACACGTGGCTCATGCTGTTTTGAAACTCAGCTCAGTGGATGTAGTATCCACTGCTAACCCCAAACCATGCTGCTCCCACCACCATAATTCCCTTTACCCCTCCCGCTGGTTTCATAGTGCTGCCACGGCAACAGCATGAAAGCTGCACCAATCAGGGCAGACTACAGTCTCAGGCATCCCCGCTGTGGGAATGCCCAGCCAAGCCTCTTTTTCTTTTTTTAATTCTTGCTATCTTGTTTTTTCTTTCTTTTTTTTTGAATCCATGAAATAAAATGTAGCAAACATGTAGGCAATGGAGGATCTCTAAAAACATTCACTCATTTAAAGAGAAGAGTTTTTAGAAATGGAGAAGGGGGATATTTCCATATCACACAAAACTGACCACACAGTCAAGGCAACAGTCCAGACACAACTAAACCCAGCTCCATGATCCATATATCAGGTAATGTTCCTTTCATTCTGTTTACTAATAACCTCAGTGTTAGAGCAATACTCTATAAGACATCACACTAAAAAGACTGGAGCTTTGCACTAGGCAATAATGCTGCGTACACATAACGCTGTGTACCGTGCTCACTAAAAGTACGACTACTTCAACACATCATTGAAAAATAGAAAAAAGTCTAAAAAAGTGTACACCTCTTGCTTTCTTCCTAGTGTCTCTCATTTGCCATCTTTTGTGAAAACCACAAAAGATCAAAGAATGGAAACTGTCTTAGTTAACTCCACTCTGCACAGCTTTTCCATATGTTTTAATTATGCTTTTGTCTTTTGTGACATGTAGCTGTTAATCTTTCCTGCTTTAGGGGGTTAAATGTAATAAACATAAGGTTTAGATCAGAGATAAAAAAACAAACATAATGAAAGGTCAGTAGAACCAAAAACAATCAGTAATTGAATCCTCTTTCACAATCTAAGAAGCGAACTTTGTACGAAACCTGAAAATGTATATTGATACACCCTAGCGTTCATTTAACTACATGCACACATTCGTTGCTATGCTCAAATTTCATATTTTCATTTACTTTTACTACTACCAATAAACCTAGCAGCTCACAGGCCAATCCTGCAGGGCATACAATCTGAGCTACAGCAGCTGGATGTGCAGCTGTGCTGCTGGTGACCAACTCGCTGTGTCCAAGTCCCGGCCACTTGACCCTCACTCTAAGAGCAAAACAGCCTCAGGCTGTAGGCCAAAGGGTCAGTGTACTCCTCTTGGAGAAGGTAACAAAAAGTACTACGACTTACTATTACTTTACCTACTACTAATGCTATTACTACGACAACTACTTGTTATAATCATAACCAAATAATTCTTTATATTATACACGCCTGTATATTGTGACCTATAACTGCTTACTTCTCCCTTCTTTCCCTTTCCTTTCTCTCCTCTTTCATCTTCCTTTTTTCATCTTCTCCTCTTGTTATCCTGTTTATCAAATACTCTCCTCATCTTCCACCCTTTTTCACCTCCTCTCCTCCTTCTTCGTCTTCTGTCTTCCTCCCCTTTCTCTGCCTCTCTACTCCTCTTTTCTCCTTTCCTCTCATTTCCTCTCCTCTCTTCTCCTGCATTTTCTCCATTTGCATGAAATGATGGGTAGTTCTCAAATGTACAGAGGTGACAAACTCTCCCCACCACCTGTTTTACTTTGGGAGAAAAATAAAATTTACACAATTCCCCCACAACTGTAGTTGATCCGCCAAAATATTTGGAATCTGAAGTGGATGCTTATGGCATACAGCTTGCACAATGCTAATTGGTAGGGTATAAACCATATAAGCCTTACAGCTCCAGTGCTAAAGTAGTAGTAAACTTCAGACACCCCTCCAAATGTCTTGGAAGATTGACTACCTTTGGGGTAAGTGTAAATTTCCATTGGCTTTAACTATGAGGGCAGCTTCATTTTAAATGACACTGGTGCTACTTCTAAGGCAGACAAAGAAAGAGTGAGAGTGAGAGAGAGAGAGTAGTGAAGGAGATGGGTGACCCATAGACAGACAAACAGACGAACAGATTCAAAAAAGAAAGAGAGGAAAGCTATGTAACTGGCAAGACAAGCATCAAGAATGAAGAGAGAGAGAGAAAGAGAGAGAGAGAGAGAGACAGAGACAGAAAGACAGAGAGAGAAAGGGGGAAGAGAGAGAGAGACAGAGAGAGAGAGAGAGAAACATTACCCGCTGCCGCCTCTGGAGATGTAGCCGGTTGGAGAGATGAGAGAGGGTCAGAGACAGTCAGATAGAGAAGGAAAGACACACATGTGCATGCATGCACACACACACACACACACGCACACACACACACACACACACACACACAGAAAGACAGAGACATAGATACAGGGGAGAGAGAAAAGGTTTGGAGGGGAAAAAAACATTCATATGAGACACATACAGCAGAAAGAGAGAAATAAAGGGTGCAAGGCTGCATTTGTTCTGATCAAAGCATGCCTGCAGAAATATCTCTCACACATTCTCTTACTCTCTCACACACACACGCACACACACCCATAAACATACTTACCAAGACATTAATACATTATACATAAACCCACCCGCGTAGACCTGTGCTGGTAACAGAGTTGTCTTGTTTGGGTGACTGTGTGAAAGTGTTTTTTCTCCATTTTGAGTCAGTCACCATTCCTGCCCTAGAGATAGCATGTGACTTGAAGCTTATTCTTTGTGAAACAAAAGAACATCATAAAGCGCAATTCAATAAAACTTGCCGTTGTAGTATGTTGTTATATTTAGTTTGGTCACAAAACTGTAATTAGTCTAGCAATAAAAAAAAAACGATTTGCAAATGTCACACAAACTTTACAGTCTGAAGCGGCTTAGCTTTGCCTGACGCTTTCTTCTCCAAAGCCATTATGCCTGAAATGATCTGTCTGGCCTGATGTATGAGAACTGAGATATGATTTTACTTTAAGACCTGAAGCTGTTTTGATTAATGTCTGAAACCTGACACTGTGTTCTGAGGATGTACTAAAATCTACACTGTAACATACAGATGGCTCTTTGTACAGGCATGATATCTGCCTGCAGCATCGCATTCAACAACAGGAGCCATGTTTCTAGAACAATCAGGTGCAATAAATGTGATATTTATGTATATCAATTCACCCAACACGGTTAAAAAATTTGTCTGAGAATACTGGGGTCTTCCTATGTTTTGCATTTAATAAATCAATAAATGAATGACTTTTTTTTTAGAACAGCAGTGTATGCGTTTTTACCATCACTGGGTGCTGTTACCACGTGTGATATGCATGGTAACTTGGTTAACCATCACCTGGCACAGGCCTACACCAGCATCACTTTCAACTCCAGTGATACGGTTTATTTTCAAACATACGCACACAGGGTCACACTGATCTCTTTAAGGCATGAAGGTAAGTAATGCAAACATGCACTGTCATCCTGCACGTAAATCACTCCGCTGCAGTTAGAGGTATTTGAGTTAGCTGCCATGCCTCCTTACCCACTTCATGTCATCCTGTACCCGCATCATGTGATACAGGACTTTGTCACATGACATGCGGTCACATGACCCTACTTGCCAATATGTTCACAATCTAGGGATGTAAATGATTAACCAATTAATCATTAACCAACAAATAAACAACTGTTCGACTAATGTTATTGGTTCAAATTTCATTATAATTTCATTACATTTCTGATAAACCACAGTTCCTGTCTGAATAGGCCAGTTTATCATTCAAGCTGAGAAATGTTTATAACTAAACACATGAAGGTGCAATATGCAACAGGCCTTCTAAACAATGAAGAGCACAGGTAAAAACAGTAGTGCTCTGAACCACTTTTGAGAGGATGATAGCAACTACAATGATGTACCATTGCAAAAGCTGGCAGCTTTCGAGAGCTACTGAGGTACGCTGAGCCAAAGCTAGGCCGTGGTAATGGCATTTACGTTCATTTTAACTTGGGCTAGTGATGAGTGGTAAATACAACCTTAGAACTTTTGAATATGGCACTTTCAGTAGCCTATTATTATATATTCCAGTCTTCTGTCAACTTCAGTATTTGATCGTATAATCATAATCATAATAAATATAATTGTGTGGGGTATGTATGATAAGGTTTCAGGCTGTTTACTTCATATACATGCTGATGCCTGGCCCCATCTATCAGCACTATGTTCCATGATCTATACAGGGATCACTTTTTAACATTTCAGTGCATTAATTCAGAATTGAGTTAATTTGTGCGTTTCTGTGTGCGTATATGAAGTATTTCACAGCGGCTTCAAACAAGACTCAGTCAGCTTTTAGATCCAGAGGTTTCTGTTTTATAACTGATATTTTGATGGGTTGCATTCTTGATTGTAATCGTTGTTGGTTAACGATTAATTGCCGACTAATGACAGTTATTGGTCATAAGAATTTGCCAAAATTGCATTCCTAGCACACATACAGAAAAACACACACACACACACACACACACACACACACTCTCA